AAAATGACGAACTTACATACAACCGTTCATCCCTTATTTTAACCTTTTAATAGTGAAATTTCTAAAAATGCTTTCTTAGTGTCAGTCAGGGCAAGTAATTTTATGTGTATAGATTATTGTGTGTCAATAACAACTAAATCGGAGGAATGATGCAAAAATGTGTGGGAGAACACAAGTGTGGAAATAATTACAACTTAATCGAAATCAAGCAGGATAAACCACACCAGTACAGTTATACCCCCCGGCTATACCAATCGGGCTTTAAAGTCGGGTTCATTGACATTCGGGCGTCGTAACTTGTGACGTCACATGCGTATGCGCAGCTTTTGTTCTTTTTTGAAAATATAATCGAGGCAAGTTCTGCGACATTATACAATCATATAATATAATACAATGTATAATTTAATGAGTCATGAGTTAAATATCCATTTAGGTATGAAAGGAAATTGTTTGTTTCATCTTTGTGGTTTCGTTTATTAGAAAATATTGAACATAATTCTATTTATTTAATTTTATGACATGTAATACCTACAGAAACTTACAAGAACTCAGTACGGCTTCGTATTTCCGGTAGTCGGACATCTTCAATTACTGTTGCTGCTGGGTTTTTTTCTTTACTTAATATTAACTTGCCCTGTAACAATCTATCTAGAGGTCCGATTAATTGAATTGGCACACATATCAAGCCTAAAAATAAAAAAAAAGACGTGTGGCACTCGGGGACTGCCGCGGTAAAGCTATTGCATAGCATTTTGTATCAACTTATGCAATTATAATTATTTTATTTATTTTATTTATGCAGTATTTCTTTTTCTTTGATATTAATTCAAGTTACACTTTTTGAGCGTGGTGACAGATAAGAAAACAATTTTTTTTTCTTTTTTTAAATAAAAATATTGAAGCATATATTACAATTTGTTTTTAAATAAATAAATAAAAAATATTATTATTAAATCAAATTACATATCCATGTAAGATTTTTCTGCATTATGTTGACGAAATTTCCTTTGACGTTCAGCATTTGATTTTGGTACTGTTTTTTGTTTTGTTTTTAGCGTGAGGTTTTTTTTCGTTACGGAATTTAGAAGCTATGCAATAGCTTAATATTACTTGACAGCAAATGTTACAATTGATATGCATACCAGTCACTACACTAATAGGGCAGTAAAATAATAATAATTATTATTAAAATGATTATTGAGTTTCTGGGATATTACACATTTCCATCTAGGCCCAAACTTGTATTATGAATTTAGAGACATATTTTTGTAAATGCCTACATTTTTTTGCAAACTAATTTATTTCACTGAGCAGGAATCGAACCTGCGACCCGATAATGTTTGATGTAATTTATTAGGGCGCAAACAAGTCGTGTACTGCCTTACAGATAAAGATAACATCATCCGCATTTAGGTACTATCACGTGAACTGCTATAACCTTCAAGTAGCGTATACAGAGATTAAGAGATTATCTCGCAAACAAGACCGATTTTCACTTGCGTATGTTTGGTCAAATATTGGCACATGACTAAATTAAGGATTTAATAAACTAGGTTGTGCGTATTTGGTGAGTGTTGGCATAGTAGCTGGAATTAAGTAGCTTAGCCAATATTTGGTTTGTGAAAATTTGTTAACGGGTAATTCCATTATATTAAATTAAATATTACTATTTTATAGCTACGAGTATATAGGAATGAGTAGGGATAGTTATGCCTGCTCATTGCTATTACATATAAATAAAATCTATCTATTGTACACACACAATTTAAAAAAAAAACAAATCATTTCTCATTTGTTGATAAAAAAAAACTATTTTTTGTAAAACCATAAAATAAATGATATGCATATTATATGAATCTTTAACATTTCAAAGGCAAAGGAATAACCTTATTTGGTATACAATCTTTATTGTTACAGTAGTAAAAGAATTTCTGTTTGGGGGGAAGTGTTCTCCTCAGGGATAGGGTCTGGTTAGGCATGGTGTCAATTCGGGGAGGACCTGAAATAACATGGTCTGGGTCCTCCCAGAGTAGGACACCTGAGGCCGGCCGTCGGGGTTTAATTTTAGTGGAATCACAGTCCCCGAGGAGCAGGAGGTCAGGAGGGATTTGCCGCCCCGTCAACAAAAAAAAAAGTTAAAGAATTTCTGTACTGAAAGTCCCTTACAAAGACTTTTATAGTCCTTGTAAAAGTCTTGCGCCCAGCGGTGTTTAGTACATACTGTGTTTATCGCCCATGATCTAGCAAAATTACGACTTTAAAACATTAAATCTTCACCTATTCAATGCAGTTTGTTTGTAGATGATAGTACAGCTGCGGACATACGCTTAGTATGCTTTCAGCTCAGCTGTTATGGAGGTACTTTAGCTGACAGAAATAGTCAGGCTTAAGGTTAATGTACTAAGCAGCATTGGCAGTATTTCCTTAGTGCTTCAGTTGTCTTATTGGAGATTCGCTTGTGCCCTACGTTAAGCGGAAAACGCATAGTAATATCATGCTGTTTATTTCAAAACTAAGTTTTTATTTTATCCAAGAGGAAAAACTCTGAATCTGCTGCTGTTCAAGCTGTCACTTGTAGAAACGGATTTTATTACTAAATTCTACATTTAATTATTCACTATCCCCTTGATGATGCTTTTTTTCATAATGAAATAAATTGATCTTAGAAAGGTTTAACTTTTTGTTGGTACCAAAATAAACAGTGACCAATGCTCTCTGTAATTAAGTTTCGTTCTCGTTCTCGTTGTTTAAAAAGACGACTCCCGCATTAGGAATATATCCTGTGTCGCGGGGGACTTTACAAACATACATGAAACGCACACAAAGAACACCCAGACTCAGAACAACAATTTGTGGATCACACAAAGTGTCGTCCCCTGTGGGGATCGGACCCACAACACTCAGTGTAGTAGTAAGCACTACGCCATTCGTGCATAGTTCTAGATGAAGTCTAAAAGTCTACATTCGTACCATTAAAACGAAAATTGAGTAGAGAACAGAACTTATGCGCTTTCGTCATTACGAATTATAATAAACCATAACCAGAACCAACCAGTTTAAACTTATATATTTAGTAGGTTAGCACATTGCAAAGTTAAGTAACCATCGCCAGGTCGGTTTATGTATGGGTGACCATTTTTAATACATTGAGACCCTTCCCTACCTCTGAGATCACGTTAAGCCGTCGGTCCCGGTTTCAATACGAACATCTGTGGCAATCATTACAAGAATTAATTAATTATTAGACTGTTGTGGAACTTTTAAAGACAACTAGTCTCTAAAAGTTCAACAACAGACTAATTACAGCAATTCGATATTCGATATTACTTAGTTGTAGAGTGGTAGTGGTAGTGGTAGTCCAATGGTAGTCGCTCAACGTAAATCATCAAAGTTCAGCTGTGTTGTAATAGACTAAAACCCTTTTTTTTCGGCCAACCTAGTTATGTAAAAGGCTTATTAGTAAAGCTTTATTCAAAGTATAGTGTACGAGTATATGTGAACGATTGCGTTTATGTCTGCGACGCAATACAAATTTATGAATGATCAAGTGAAATCTGGTACAAGGAGGTCATTACTAAATAGATCGTCACATTACGTAGTGCTACAATTAATACTGCAATTAGACTCCAAGATGCGTGGGTAACATGCTATTTTTAGAATCTTGATTTGTATCTCTTTATATGTCTGACACGGGTTCAATAATAAAATTACATACTTGTCTGCCCATCGGAGTTTTATGCTGAATTGAAAGAACATGAATATTTTGCGATTATTCTGATATATTACTCGCTATATGTTGCAGTGGAAAGGATCTTAAAAATTTCAAAAGTTATATAAGTTTAGAATACGCATGATTCCAGAGAGTCATTCCAAAAAAATTGTGACCATTTTTTCTATTTTCGGGCTACGGCGGTGTTATATTGCGGGACAGACTTTGGGAACTTGACAGCTACATAATATATGCTAAGAAAAACGCTGGACATTGGAAGAAACGTGGATGTGTCATATTTCTGCTGCCTTTTCTAAGTACATTCCATATAGGCCTTTGGATGAATGACTCGTTTCCTTATTAGTTTCAAAGAGAAAACTTTAGAAGAGAGAAAAAAATATATTAAAAAGGAAGTCCTTAGTTCTGGAACGAAGTTCCTTATCGCGCGTTGTGAAAAGACGAAAAAAAGACGGAAAAAAATCTCACCAAAAGTTGTAACGACACTTATGTCAGTCATTCAGTACCATCTATCGAATAGATAGGAAATCATTACTTTTCATCTCAGTATTTATTTTGAATTGTCACTTGTCAGTCATTCAGCGCCATCTATCGAATAGATAGGAAATCATTTCTCAAGGAGATTTTACCAATGTATAAATTGTTTTAATTAGAAACCAACTGAAAAATATGTAGGTAATAGCCGCTTTCATAGATGGCGTTGTAATTAAAATTGTGTCGAATCAGTTTTACTAGAGTGTCACAACTTCGTTCCTATCGGGTGTCCCACGACACCACATGGCTTTTTTTTCTTGTTTCTTTTCCATAAGCCCTACTTATTAGAAAATACTGTCTTATGGTTAGGGACTGATAATGGGGTTCGGTGCGGCGTTAATAATTCGCTGCTTAGACCGTGCTGCCCCCGGACCTGCCGTCTATCACAACTTCTACTGACTGTCTTACCAACTACAGCCGATTATAAAATACCTATAACTTAAGGCTAAGGAAAAACTGCTCCATAACCTTTTATGGTTATGGAGCAGTTTTTCGTTTCAGCCACTTTAAACGTAAACAGTGGTTGTGCAAAGAAACCAGCCCAGATTATGTACACACAGTATTTGGCGAGTACCTATTTTCTAATTCATTATCTCAACCAAACAGCAGATAATCTGATAGTACATGCAAACAGAACCTGGATTCAAGGCTATATTGAGAATTTTAGTGTTCAGTTTCTTAACTTCCTTAGTTCATAGTAGTTGGTGTAATAAATTAAGTTTTTTTTAATCAATAAATAATGGAGTCGGATGATATTGCCGAAAAGGGCAACCGTGTTGTTGTAAGTAATGAGGCATTTCACAGCGTATTCTACCACAACGTGATAAGAAATATAATGTTGTTACATTAGAAGTATAATTAAATATCAAACTTACTGCCATACATTTATATAATTTGCAGTATGGCAACAATAAGCAGAGGTAGCCATTTGAGCTAATGCGATAATCTTGAGAAGTGTTTGTCTTTAATAAAGAACAGTAGTTAAGATTATTAAGGCAAGTCGTTTCTGCGTCTTTAGCGTGTAGGTCTTTTTAACCATTAAAAAAATTATATATATTTCTTTAACTACAACAGTTATGTAAAATCATCGGTGCAAGCAAACACAACGGAAATCGTATATGTAATCAAAGACTTTATTTAATATAAAAAACATTCTGTTAAATAATCAATTTTCAGTTTTTGCATTTTTACGGTTAAATTCTTTAACAGTTTAAGAGACGATAGGATATTATCATCTTCATCTTTAGGTACACCTATTGAGACATAGGGGTATATGATAGAGTTAGGGATATTATGATACATTCTAAACCGACTTCAAAAAGGAGGAGGTTCAATTATTTGGATGTTTTTTTATGTTCTGTGTATGTATGTATGTGTATAACTCCGTCATATAAAGATGGTTTTTTCAAAATTTTTTTTTGTTTGAAAGGGTTTTATACAAAATGGTCCCATTTAAATTTCACATAGATCTGATGATGAGTTTCGAAGACAGACAAATGATCTTGACAAAAAAGACGACAAATCAACCGCGATTGCTGCTAGGTTTTTAGTGCTCTTTGTTATTATTGTTTAAAGTCGGTTCAACTTTTTTAAAAGGATTTATTTAAAGATGATGATGATGTAGGCGACATACAGAGATAGTCCAGTCTATTTAAAGCGATCGATATCACAATAATTGCTGAAGAATTATTACAGAATAGAAACTGTCGATACTGATTCCATTTCTCTTCTCTTCTTGTAGATGTATGGTCGCTATCAACGCGACCTAAGTGAAGCGGCTAGAGAAGAAGCAAGACGACTTAGACGATTACGAAAGAAGAGAAGAAAAGACGACAAACTGCGGCAAAAAGAACTTGAAGCCAATGGTAAACATAGACCTAGAGGAAAGTTTTTTAAAATATTAGGTGAGCAAACAAAACAAATGTTAACTAAAGTTTTTTTTTAAAGATTTAAATTTACCATATTCGTTAGAAACATCAATGCTTTAAATCTTCAAATTACTAATAAACTTGTATTATGCACAAAAATAGATGTCCTGTAATATTATTCATATATCAGAAGCCTCAAATTCTTAATCAATAGGTGTTATAAAGTTCAAACTTATTTAAAAACCGCTTCACAAAGTTATACAGGTCCAGTATATTTTGATCTGTCATGGTACAAACGTGTATACAGTGACAGTTCAAGTTATACTGGTCATAAATTTAAAAATCATTGAAAACGCTCAGGAAAACCTTCAGGCGATCTTTAGCATAAATAAATGTTCATACCTTTGTTGTATTAGTTTACGGGAACTCGCATTTAAATTCATTTATTTGTGTCAAATATAGGTACATTAGGTTATAATTATTACATCATGTTAGTTAGCATTCCCATTCCTTGCGTAAGCGCATGCAAATATCCCCAACTCAACCGTTATGGGGTCAAGTAACTGCTGATTATGTAAAAACAATCTGTATAAGTTTTGTGACAGGTTACGTATGGAGACACACATTTGCCCGACTGGGAGAAGACTGGGTGTTTCTGGCGCTGCTCGGTATCATCATGGCTGTTCTCAACTTTGCCATGGACAGAGGCATCGCTGTTTGTCAAAATGGTTAGTGTGTTCAACTTATTAGCTGATCTATTGATGATTCCAACTATGCCGCACTCGCTTTCTTGTCCACTGCGTCCCTCCAGCTGCACTGCAGATGAGCTGTGCAGAGTAACGGACAATGCCGTAGCTGTGACGGCATTATGGGCAGTCAAAATTTAGGAGTGTTCACCCGTTGACGTGCAGAAAAAATTAGATGATCTTTGCGATCTATGTGTGTGTGTTATAAAATTGATCGTAATCTACTCTACATATCATAGTCATCAACATTTCAACCATTGGATGTCTACTGTCTGGTATAAAAGCTCATATCTCAGTCGACGTCCAGTGAAGGATGGAGACTCAATGACTTCCAAGAAGACGGGTTAGAAGAGAATTGCGTCCGTCTCATTTGATCATCCTGCGATCTTTATAAGATCATCTATACCCATTGTTGTGAACGTGCTAAACTGCGGTTTCTGATCAGTAGTCTTTACTCCAAAACCTTTTGGCTAAACCTCTAATTTGGCTAATCATACAAATATATAGTATATTCAATAAGTTAGTAGTAGATTAGACCAATGTCAGTAATGTAAAGGTAGCGAATATAATTATTGAGAAAAAGTTATTGAAAAAGGAGATGAGGCTGCTAAGTTATAGCCAGGGATGGATAAACGCTGCGGGGGACGACTGATTATGCACTAATGACCTGGTCATATTAGAAGGAAGTTGCAATATAATTTAATTCAACTTAGCGTTAGTAAATTTAATACGTATGTAATAAATTCTCATGCGGCTGTAGTAAACTGAAATTAAATTTTACTTTATATGTGGATTAAGATTGTTATTTCATTCCATGCTATCATAAAAGAATGAAAGGTAAGGTAAGTACTGGAATTTATTGCCATCCCTTAATCTACGTAAATCGTTACCCTTTGAGTTGCTCAGTGATTTACGCAAAATTTTTGCAAATTGCATGACAACATTAGAATTAGTAGCTAAACGTAAGCGGTAAGTAAAAAAAAGCGGTTTTCTGATGGTTATCCTCAAGGTATTGTTTTTCGATTGTGACCAATCGTCGTGTTTTTTTTCTTTTTTATCTTAATACTTGTTCTTCATTAGAAGACTCGGAGTGACGAAATTCTTTTGTTATCATAAACCACTAATAATAATTATTTATTTCAGCGCGTATGTGGATGTACAACGATCTAGCGACATCAACGTTCAGTCAATACGTAGCGTGGGTGTCGCTGCCAATATGTCTGATACTCTTCGCTGCTGGATTCGTACATATAGTCGCCGCACAGAGCATAGGTCAGCCAATTTTTTCTTTGTTTCACATCGCAAGTTCAGTGATCACCTAGACACTGAGCCAATTATTCATTAGCCATTAAATATAACTTTCAGTTTCTCAATGATATTTAGTTCTTCAGTGATTTAAGTATCAGAAATTCTAGATATACTTGTATATATGAGGACAATCAAAAGGTATATGTATATCATAAACTATACAAATGAATATAAAAAAAATATTTATGTTAATTAAATTGAAAATATTGTTCAACCATGAAGGAAAACGAAAAAAAGTGAGATATGATTTGTCTATATGAAATATTCTTATGTATAAATCTCAATATTTCTAGAACATGTCTTATCACAATCTTTTGAGTTCTACAATGCATCATAATTCATCTTTCAACATCCTCAGGCTATGTAATTTTTTTTTTATATTGTTTTAAAAAGTCAGCTCCCTTACCTTTTCGAACTGAGCAATCCAAACAATATTCTCTATAAACTTATGACCACTGTATTATCGTACTAGTAGTACAGTTTCACCAGGAACTTCTAAATAGTCTCTTCCCAATGAAGGATTTTCCCGAATACTCCATCATTAACGAATGTGTTTCTTAACTGCTTTAATTCTATCTTCTCCTTTCAGGTTCTGGTATTCCCGAAATGAAAACGATATTACGAGGTGTTCATCTCAAAGAGTATTTAACTTACAGAGCTTTGATTTCGAAGATCATCGGTCTAACTGCAACGCTAGGATCTGGTTTGCCGCTGGGTAAAGAAGTAAGTAGTGTCTCGACTTTAATTTTTCTCACTATTTCGTTTAATAGAAAAAAATATAGCAAACCAGCCGACGAGTCAGGTCACTACTTTTCTGTGAGGTATTACTTCGATCGGGCATGGCGAAGCATGGCTTTTACACGTGAGTGTTATAGAAAGTATATAATTTAATGTAAAACTAAGTGGTTACCATAGTTTCAACTCTCTTTATGTTTACTGCTTCGCTCAATACGGTCGTAACATGTTAAATAGCCTATGCCATCCTCACGAATTCGGATTCGAATATCACATGTATTAAGATTTCTTCAAATAAGGATCTTCAGCGATATCATATGTAAAAAAGTAAACCACAGCAGTAAAGCATATACGAGTAAACATAGCAATACTGCAACATGTTTTCTTTCACAGGGTCCTTCAGTCCATATAGCGTCAATGGTAGCAACTCTCCTTTCGAAATTAGTGACGACCTTCCAAGGAATCTACGAGAATGAATCCAGGACTACTGAGATGTTGGCGGCAGCTTGCGCTGTGGGTGTTGCTTCGTGTTTCGCAGCGCCTGTTGGAGGTTGGTATTTGTCGATTTTTCACAATACACTATCTAGAAACAAATGGTCATAGGTCGATAGATAGCGATCTAAAATCTATTTGTAACACGGGTTTGTTATTTATTGTTTACAAAGCAACCTATTGTTGCGGTGACATTGTGTTGGCCTATAACTTTCAGTGAATAAAAAGACATAATAACCAATTTTTTAACGTTCTTAGAAACCTATCAGCAATATTGCATAACCTATTGAATGAGTTTGTAATGTTATGTGTATGAAAGTCCAGTGTTCTACTATGGCGATTACCTGCAATTTCTAACAATCTGTTAAACAAAGTCTTGCCTGTAGTATTCCCGGACAGACATGACCTTAAAACCTATGTTTCTTAATTTGCAGTACATGGGCGGTGGTAATCACTTATGATCAGAAGATCAATTCTCGTAATAAAAATTCGTTCAAAATTCAAATTCTATTCTCGATCTCACAAATATCATGAGGAGTAGGACTCGTCATAAAGTAGTGGAGTATTACTAAGACAAGCAAAATACCGATTCAACTTTTCGGAATCACATGACAGTCAACGTTGAAAGTCTACTTTTACCAATATAAAATATTTTAATAACAAGTCACGCTTTGTGTGTTGTCAAGAATTGTATTATATAGCGTGTTAAAAAGTGTGCTACCCCGTCTGGCGCACTGAACATTGGGCGAGTGTGTAAACAAAACACCACAGGCGTAGCTACGCCAAGATTCCTTTGAAGTGTGCCTAAAAAACCGACAACACGCCGAAGTCATGCCAAGTTGGCAAAAATCCGCACAAGTATACACATTGGCGTCCCCCGTGTACACATTGGCGTCCCCCGTGTACACATTGGCGTCCCCCGTGTACACATTGGCGTCCCCCGTGTACACATTGGCGTCGGCTTGACTTCGCCCGAGCCTGTCCAACGTGTACTTGGGTCATAATACTAACACTTTGCTACTAGAATATCTTTGATGATATTTGTAAGATCGAGAGTAAATCGGAACTGAATTTTGAACGAATTCTTATAACGAGAATTGACTTTCAGACCATAGGGGATAAATAATGTAACCAGACCTGCCTGGTTATATTATTTATCCCTTCATATCATAAACATAATATATGTATACATTTAATTTCAGGTGTGCTTTTCTCAATCGAAGTAACCTCAACATATTTCGCGGTGCGTAACTACTGGCGAGGTTTCTTTGCTGCCTGCTGCAGTGCTATTGTAAGTCATCTAGATCCACTCAATTGAATACTAACCAGTCTCAGTCAGTATCAGTTTATTTTCATTGTACTCCAAAACGTAACGTAACAACAGTTAAAAGTTTTTTTTATACGATATAATGATATAAAATTTTATTCAAGCATGCTTTATTAATTGTAAAACTTGAATTTCAGATGTTCCGTTTATTATCAGTGTGGTCGGGTGCTATGCCCACGGTCAAACCTCTTTTCCCCACCAACTTGCCACAAGATTTTCCTTTCGACCCTCAGGAGTTCGCCGTTTTTGTGTTGCTCGGGTAAGTATTACATGCAAACTATATGCCGCCGAATTTGATCTTTTTGAAGTCTGTTAAAAATCATGCATATTACAAGTTCATTACCGGTACTGTGTGTGTGTTCTAGTTTTTTTTTCTATGGCATAGGAGGCAAACGAGCAGACTGGTCCCCTGATGGTAAGTGACAGCGAAAAGATAGCTTAACAAAGGTTTCCAGTGAGGCCGTGGTATATGTTTGTCCTAGGGTATGTTCAATAACCAAGATTTCGCCAACTCAAGTTACTTGACTGCTCTTCCAGTGTCGTCTGCGGTCTCCTGGCTGCGTTGTGGGTGTGGATACATCGCCAGTATGTCCTGTTCATCAGAAACACCAAGACGCTAAGCAACTTCCTGCAGAAGAAGTAAGCCCTTTTTTTTCTACAGCAAATGGGACGGCAATAGAGTTCTTTATGTTTCATAACCTAAGTTTAGAATACATTGAAATCTCATAATTTATATCGAAAAATACCACTACCACGCTAAACAACAATAAAAAAAGCCCGAAAACACTATTGCCACAGCAAATGCTTCCTGCTTCACCTTTCCAGGCTTACAGGGAAGTCTTTACTTACATGAAACCCAGGAAACGCTTTAGATCTTCCTCCCGGTATCCCTCTAACCAATACATTATCCAGAAGATGACTTCCTCGCAACTCAGTTAAACCAAACATATTCTAAATATTTAAGGTGTACTTAAAAGTGAATGTGAGGTTATAACGTGAGCTTTTAACTTAAAAGCGCAACGGTAAGTGAGCGCGTCCTTTTAACCATAATGTTTTATAGAATCTTTCAAAATAATAATATAAATGTTCACAGCCGCTTCATATACCCAGGCTTCGTGACTCTGGCGGTTATGTCGATCCTCTTCCCTCCCGGTATTGGCAAGTACATGGCAGCAGATCTTGGTAACCAGGAACAGGTACGTTGCGCAACTATGTTGTAGCGGTTAACTAATTCACTCACTGACTGAGCGAGCAACCTGGGAAATACTCTGTCTGACAAGACGTTCGTGGCTTAAATAACAAATGTTTGGGGAAAACTTTGCTAGTTTATACAAAGAGAAGACGAGAACGTTTCTTAAAAACAATTGGATTGTCGTCAGACCTGGACTCATACGAAGCAGTCGGTGGTCAATTGATTGACTTTTAAATTTATTTATTAAGAGGTAGTTTCTTATGTCATCATTAGATGAACGCTGTGTAGCCTTTTAAAGTGTTTGACCTCTTTCATACCAAACGGTTGCCTCATATAATAAACTGAACCCTAATAAGCCGTATTTTTCACAGCTCCATTTTCAAACCTTAGAAATGAAAATCAATTTTAAAGGAGATAATGCTAAAATAAATTTAATTCAATATAAAAAAATATCGAAATCGATTCACGAATAATATCATATAACGTGGTAAAAAAAGTCGAATTAAGCACCACAAAAAAATATTTAGTTGATTTGAGATCCTCCTTTTCTAAGTTTGTACAAAATAAGCTCCCGGTACAACTACTATTTAAAATGTCAATATGAATAGTTACATGACCCCTAACCCTCAGAATCAGAGGGTCAATACGCGACTAAAGAATTGCTCAACACAGAATTTTACGTTTATTATATTTTGAATTGTTTTTTTTTTCTTTTAACTTCACAGCAAAGCGCAACGGTAAGTGGACGCGTCCATTTAACCATAGTGTTTTATACAATCTTTCAATTTTATAATATCCTTTTTTTATTACTTTGATTGATGCTTGAATTCATTTTACCGATTATAATACTACTTAATTCCCTTTAATAATATATATAACATTTATTTCTCTTTGAGTAGATACTATTTATTTCTGATTATCTTTTTTATTACTTCTGTATTTAGTCGAGTCTTCAAGCTTAACCGTGGATAGGATAGGTACACGTGTACCTAAATATTTTGCCACTGTATTAATATAATTTAACAGTCGTTTTTTATCGCGTTCCGGGATCCAAATAAATCTATTTGATAGTTTGAAGGTATACATAGTAATTTTGAAAGAAATTTTGTTTGTATACGTAATGTAATTTATTATTTGTATTATTAGAAGAATTCTTCTAAATATGGGCGCAGTTTTTAATTGTTTTATAAGTTTGTGAAGTGCATTTCGACTGCGTAAATAGATGTTTTACTGTTATTTATTGATTCCTTTTAAAAATCAATTACAGTCGTCACGGTTCCTTCTGTGGATACATTCTCAGCCATACCAAACATTAAGAGGTTATATTTTATTGTACATGTAACCTTATGATTCCCTTTCCAAATGTCATATCAAAATTCGTCACATTTCCACTCTTAGTTATTCATGCGCGTCTGCGCATATACTACACCCACTTACCTCCCTAATACGACAAGAGGTAGAATACGAGATTTAAAAGTACATATATACATACGTATACTTAAAGGAAGAGTATTTCTTTTATATATACTATATATAATACTGCCTCGTTGGTGCAGTGGTAGCGTATGCGACAGCTGTGCTGAGGTCTCGGGTTCGATTCCCGGGTCGGACCAAATGTTTGTATGATCTGAAAATATTTGTTTCGGAGTTTGGGTGTTTCCTATGTATAATATTTAAGTATTTACAAAAAAAGAGTATATAAGTATTCTATTAGTCATACTAGCTTTCATAGTACAAGCTCTACTTAGTTTGAAACTAGATATCGTTGTGTGTTAGATGTCCGGAAAAAATATCCGAAATATATAATACTAGCTAACCCTGCAAACGTTACATTATAATTTTTTTTTTTAATTTCTTAAATCCGTTCTTAGCTGACCTCTACTCGATGAAAAGAATATTCCTACCAAATTTCAAGTCTTTAGCTCTAATGGTTCAAGAGATATCGTGATGAGTGACTATATACGTTTAAATCTCTTATATATATATAGATAGATTTGTTCATACTTTAAAAATATTTAAAGTGGTCTTAATCTTTGAACGTACGATGCTTATTATCTGTAACTCTTCTACGAAATCTTAAACTCTGTTAATATTGGTACAAACTTGTAGAATACTAAAATTTGCATGAAAATTGGCATGTCTTTTTTTTAACAAAAAATATATTTCGAGCATCGGCGGCCACCTGTTGACAGAGAAGTTTAAACAACAGTGAAACTGAAATAAAGGGAAGTAGATTTATCGTCTTTCTACCTCTTTCTTTTTACTTCTAATTAGCTCTGCTGTATGAGTAAATGAATGCTGTTAAAAATGATTTTTACTGATTTGCATTTGCTCTTAGTCAGTTTTGATCGTCGAATTGTTATTTATTGATTATGAATCTCACTTTTAGAACTAAAATTAAATTACCGTTGACATTGCAATTAAAACACAGCTTGTGAAGAGTTTTAAAGTTATTTAAGAGAATGTTCTTATCTCAAAAAAAAACTGTGCCCAGAAATTTTGAAAAATGAAATTTAAAAAAAAAGTTTTTTACATTTAGAATACAGAAAAACCTAAAAGAAGTGTAATAGCATGATAAATCTCTACATACTGTACGTACAAATATAGTACAAACAAACTGACATTTACAATTCATCGTACGGAGCCTGCATCACCGAGATCAACTCGCACTTGATCCTTTTTTTCTAATTTAACACGTTTTTCTATATACTCCTAACGGTAATTACAGAATGTAAACCACAAACTATGTTAATTCTGCCATCGATGTTTCAAAGGTGCTGTCCCTATTCTCAAACTTCACGTGGACCGACGAGCTCACTGCTGAACAAGCTTCAATCGTATCTCACTGGCACACGCCGGAGGTCGACCATTTTGGATGTCTCATTATATTCTTCTTCTCAATCGTAAGTACACAATCATCTCTTAATCTATATATTAAAACGTGAAGGGAACTCTTCTTACATCTTTTTTGAAAAAATATAATATCACATCAACAGCCTTTAATAGTCCACTCCTGGACATAGGCCTCTCCTTAGATAGGCGGTTTTTGTCTACTATACCACGCTGGCCAGACGGGTCGGTATAGGGTTTGTTTCAAGTTTTCCTTCTTTTTGCAGTGCTGGTGAACTGCGTTGTTTTGCGCCCTTAGTCGGCTCTGACGACCACGACCCACGGAATGAATTGGGGTAGTGACATACCGTATTCTTAATCCGTCACTACACGCACCATAATAATATAATAGTAATATTTATTTATTTGACCAATATTATTTTACAGTGTAGGACATTTTTATTTAAAACAGATCTTATACAATATTTTCGTTAATCCTTAAGTAACACCAGTGTAAAATTAAGGTAATACTATTTTATTTATACATATTTCTTTTACTCATAAAGGTATATAATAAAATTTATATCAAAACCTTTTATAGCTGGCTGAACTAGGGTAAACCTGTATTTCAGGCGATCGTAAGCCCATTATATTTGGAATACTAAGTTCTCACTCCCATTCTCAACTCACCTATTTCCCCTTCCTACCTTACATCCTCATTCCAATATCTATGTTCTAATTACAAAAGAACCCTGCCTTCCCCAAACAATCCACTCCTGTTATATCCCACTCATACTTCCTCGTGTGTCCACCACTCTTCGTTCCTAATCCAATCTGTGCTCCTCTGAAACGCTTTACCTCTCGAAATCAGGATAGCATCCAGCCGCTTCTCATTTAAGACATAAGTCCGGGCTCGCATTTTAGACACTCCAGCAGATTCATCACATCCGTAAGTTTTATATATTATTTGTGTACATATATATGTATGTAACATAGCAAGTCATATGTATGTGTATTTCAGTATGTATGTATGTCCCACTGTTTCTATTATCAGCAAAATCCAGAATCAGAATAAGGGAGAGGAGAGGGTTGGCTCCGATACTCTCACTCAGTGAAAACAATTACTTTAACAGCGACTGCGATAATAGTTATTTTTTCCAAAGTTTTAACTTTGTGCACTTTTTCTATATGTTGACTTCAACCACAAATCTGTTTTTTTTATTACGATATACATATATACTTTAAAACTAGGTACAAACGAAAAGAAAAAAAAGCTTATCAATAAATGGCAAAAAGCTACCGACGAGGATGGGATTCGAACCCACGCGTGCAGAGCACATTGGATTAGCAGTCCAACGCCTTAACCACTCGGCCACCTCGTCACGTATGCATATGTGACAATTTAGATACCACAAAGCAAAGTAGGTAGTACTTATACATAGTAGGTATGGATGTAAATAATGTAACTTAGAGTATCACTTGTTTAAACAGAAATTAATTAGGTATTCATTTTAAAAGTTCTTAGTTCATATTGTGCGTTAATTATTTAACAATATGTACTTATTACCTCTTTATCTAATTAATACCTTTAACCGAGAAATTCTTGTGTATATAAATATAATCTCGGCAACGGCGCCAACGATTTTTAAAAATAAATACAGAGCAAAGATCAGTGATTCAGGTACTTTTGTAATTAAATTTCATCGTTATTCATATATATTTATTAAAAGTATTCTATCAGTCAATCTGGCTTTCATAGTACAAACTATACTTAGTTTGAAACTAGATGGCGTTGTGTGTCAATGCCCGAAAATATTATTATTTATATTGTGTTTATGTATGTATATATTAATTAATTTTAACTCTACTGTAGCTTGATTACAACTAGACTACCCCTTGTTGTTTCTTTTATCTACTGTTGATTTGTCCATCCAAAGGTTGCCTGTAAAATCGTCCACGTATGGACATAGGCCTCCCCCAAGGTTCGCCACATCCTGTGCTGCCCACGACTTCCTGCGACCTTCACCGTTCTTCACCTCACCAATCATCACTTTGTATATGATCACACCTCATTATTTAATAGATATAAATATTATTTTATAATCTTTGGTAAAACGCGCTAATCTTAGGAACTACTGGTTCGAATTGAAACATTATTTTAGTGTTAGATAGCCCATTACACACACTATGACCTGTTGCCTGGATTGTTCTTAGCAATAAGGCCGCACTTTGTACATTACATATCTAATATTTTTATGTACCATGATACTTGTAAAATGTGTGCAAATAAAGAGTTATCTATCTACCTATCTATCTGTGACCAATGATATCGTAACATCAAAGAAAAATGTCATAAAACTGGTGAACATGTATTCCTTTGGAGTGACGTTTTATAATAATATACATATGTAACAAAAAGATACAGTGAATATGCTTATATTTATATATATAAAATATTCTTGTATTCTCTTCCAGTACTTCCTAAGTATGGTATCATGCACATTGCCGGTGCCGGCGGGTATCTTCGTACCAGCGTTCAAGATGGGCGCCTCGCTGGGGAGGTTCACCGGAGAGGTCATGCACTACTTCTGTCCGCTCGGCGTCGCTTACGGGGGGCATATACAGAAGATCTTACCTGGTAAGCTTGTTGACATTAGAAGACATTCACGATACTGATTAACTAGGTATGAAAAAAGGTCTTGAAAATAAGATATTTTTATGAACAAATAATATAGATTCAATAAGTTTAATAAAAATAAAATGATTTTATGTTAAATAAGACTATAAATATAATTTCTTATGATTTTTAATTGGCAAACCATACAAAAAATTTTTAACGATATCCGTCATATATATGTATGACGTCACAAAATGTTTTTGTATACAAATATCTATAGGCATATAATATATAACAAAATTTCATTCATTTCTCTCACAATTTATATCACATAGTTAAACAGTCAACTTAGAGTAAACAACAAAACAAAGCAATGACGAACAAAACAAAGCAGTGTCGAACAAAACATAAGCAATGTATGTAAATTCCAGGTGGGTACGCGGTAGTGGGCGCGGCGGCGTTCACGGGCGCGGTCACGCACACCGTCTCCACCATCGTCATCGTCAGCGAGATGACTGGACAGGTACTGACATTTTAATTCATTTTAAACTTTTCGTTTTAACCTAAGGGGGCTTCCGTTAATTATGTGAGCGTTCAGAGAGGGAGGGTGTCGAACCGAATCTCATCTCGGCCAAAACCACGTAATTTTTTATCCGCAAGAAACAGAGAAAACTGAGTTAAATTAAGTAAAACATGTACCTCCAGAGTAATATGGCCAAATCTTACACAATAATATTTACTAGCCTACTTGAAATCCTAAATACTAGTCTGAAATAGTCTTAAATAAAAATACTAAGCAATTTTTTTTTTCTTTAGAATAAATCCGCCTTTACACTAAAAACACTTTTTTTTAATCTCACGTGAGATTTGAGGGTTTGAATCAAATCTCATGACATCTCACCAGGGGAGAGGGGCGAGGGGGGAGGTGCGGTCAGAAAATCGCCCAAAACCCCTCATGTAATTAATGGACACTCCCTAACCTCCCATTGACGAGTGGTAAGGGTTTTTAACATTGGATAATAATTTTTAAATATGATAATAGTCACAACGCGACTAAAATCGAATTAGACATTTTTTATTGCAGTGGTAGCGTGTGTATGCGACTGCTGTGCCGAGGTCTCGGGTTCGATTACTGCATCGGACCGAATGTTTGTATAATCTGCAAATATTTGTTTCTGAGTTTTCTATGTAAAATATTTATGCAACCCTAGAGACAATCGCGTTGCCACCTGCCGCCCTTTGAGTGGCAGCCTCCCCCCACTCCTCTTCATTCGTTAGTTGCAGGTGTCCGTGGGCAACGGTAAGCATTTATCATCAGGTGACCCGTCTGCTCGCTAACAGATTTTGTAGTAAGGCCCAGCATACAACATTTTTTTTTTCAAATTTAATTAATAGTACCTACAAAAATACGACCCTATACTTAACAATATATGCAAATTAATCAAATATACCCGTTTTATTATTTGTTACTATTTACTTAAATCACCAAAAACAGACCCTTAATTCGTAAGTTAAAAAACTCGTTCTGCTCTGCGCTGAACTGAGCTGAAGTGCAACGCGTGCAGATTTTAACTTATATCTTATATTATACCTATATTATAAATGTAAAAGTGAGTTAGTTTGTTTGTTACGCTTTCACGCCTAAACTACTAAACCGATTTTAAAAATTATTTCACCAATGGAAAGCTACATTATCAGGGAGTAACATAGACTTTTACTGCGATGCACCGACAAACACGCGGGAGGAGCCGCAGGCAAAAGCTAGTAATCATATAACGCTATAGGTTTTTCTACTTATTTTACAGGTGACCCATCTGCTTCCTATAATGGCGGCAGTACTAGCGGCCAACGCAACTGCTTCGCTTCTACAGCCTTCGTGCTTCGACAGCATCATTCTTATCAAGAAGTTGCCATATCTACCAGATCTGCTTTCGTCTGCTAGTCGTAAGTATATACAAATATATAATATTGATATTACTTTGAAAAGACTGATATAGAACTAAAGAAAATTGAGAAAGTGTGAGCACAGTAAGAAGGCGATAACAGTTTTATTAGACCTTTATAACCAAAAATAACAAAATTTAGACTCCCGCGAGGCAAGACAAGTAATTTTTACATTAATATATTAGAAGAGAAAAAAGCCTAAATAACAAACAAAATTAACCTCGATACGCCAATATTAAAGACATTATCCGTCGTGCTCTTGTTACCATGGACTCCAGGTGTGTGAACCCAATAGTCTAGTGCTAGGCGAAAGGAACAAACACACCAGTCGTTACTGCCAAGGAAAATGGGTAGGGTTTTGGTGTGGAACGCAGCTTGTTCGACACCCGGAGATTTATTCGATAATAATGTTTTTGAGCCGTTTGAAGTCGAGACGCGACGGTCTTGGGGTCGGAATTCGAAATATATTTAAAAAAAAAAAATGTTAAGTTTATTAAGTAATATTATGTACATATGCACCTGAGATAAGTACTTACTCTGATTGATAATTATCCTATGGAATTTTAAGTGTAATGTCTTTTTGTTTCTTCTTTGTTCTGCCTTTACAATATAATTGTGTATTTTAAGTTCAGGTGCATGCGACGAGGTGGCCGAGTGGTTAAGGCGTTGGACTGCTAATCCAATGTGCTCTGCACGCGTGGGTTCGAATCCCATCCTCGTCGGTGACTTTTTGAGAGTTGTTCAGTATCTATAATAACAAACTAATTACCACACTATTATACATAAATCTATGTTATTGATTCATATTGACATAATTTACTGGCAAATTTATGTTTTCGTACTCCACCTATGAAAGTCACTCGCTTAGCTTAAAGACTAGCATTAAATCAAATACCTATTTTTTTGTTTTAAGACAATTCCCGCATTAGGAATATATCCTGTGTCGCGGGGGACTTCACAAACATACATGAAACGGACACAAAGAACACCCAGACTCAGAACAACAATTTGTGAATCACACAAAGTGTCGTCCCATGTGGGGATCGCAGTAGGAAGCGGCGTGGCGACCGCTTAAACCACTACGCCATCCGTGCAGTCCGCCATATTATAGTGCTAGTGAAAAAGTTTTTTTATGTGAGAGGGGACAGACGATCAGACGGGTCACCTGATGGAAAGTAACTACCGCCGTCCATAAACGCCTGAAACTCAGGAGTCACAAACGCGTTGCGGCGCAATTCAGACTGTGTATATCTATATATGAAAATTCTTGATGATATGGTATAAATTTTATGCATAGGCAAGGGATTTTGAGTAATAATTGCTTGAATAGTCAATTACATTATGTATACATAAGTAATGTGTACATGTATATATAATCTCCAGAACACTTTCATGATGATGATGATGATTCTACATCTGATGTAGTTTGTAGAAAAGCACTAACAGAATAGAATAATTTATTTGCAAAAAATGTGGTACATTTATAGTTGTAAATTTTAATGTTAATTACCAAAGAAGAAGAAAAGGAAACTGACTCTACCGCCGAAGTTTTTATAAAATACATTGTCAATTTGTGGTCTCCTTCCATTTAATTTTTTGAGGTGAAAAAAATATTTCCTTTGACTTACCTATTTCTAAACATCATTTTCTCGTGGATTTCAATGAAAATTGAACTAAATTGTGTGTGATGATGATTTACAAAAGTGTAATTTACAAACCCACAACCAAATTTAGAACCCCCCTGTTTAAGTTAGTCACAAATAGTAGCGCGTTTTGATACACAATTAAAAGCTCCAGTTATACTATATTTTTCTGTAATATATTTTTCTGTAAGTATAAACTATATTTTTCTGTAAGTTAACATTGGCGACGGAAGAAAATTTGTTACGGATGTTACATAAAATGCCACATGGTTTACGCCTATGAAGCCGTTACAAAGGTCGTATATAAAATCCGACATATTATTCAAAAAGACGCCGACGAGGATGGGATTCGAACCCACGCGTGCAGAGCACATTGGATTAGCAGTCCAACGCCTTAACCACTCGGCCACCTCGTCCAGTACTTGCGTATGTTAATTATCACATTACATACATGAAAGCCGATTAATTTTATCTTCAGGTAATGAATACTAGATAATTACGATTTAATTGTTTTGTTTAGTTTGTTTTTACTAGTTTCCTTTGCTTTATAGGTATGTACGACATTTGTGTGGAGGACTTCATGGTGCGTGACGTCAAGTACATCTGGAATAGGATGACCTTCCAGCAACTCAAAGACCTGCTCAAGGAAAATAAGGTAAGAAAACATCTTGAATTAACAATCAAAGTTTCGAACTTGAATGTGTAAAGTGTCAAATAACAATGATTAGAATCGTGAACTATTCAAGCAATTGCTTACATAATCAACCAATCTGTGAAAAAAGTTATCGTCTGCGGTATTTCCGGACCGATACGACCTTCAAACCTTCAAGAAAAGCGAGTACTCCTTCCTAAAAGGCCGGCAACGCGTTTGTGACTCCTGAGTTGCAGACGGGCGATAGTCACTTTCCATCAGGTGACCCGTCTGCTCGTCTGCCCTCTTATCCATGAAGAAATCGCGCTTAAAACATTCGTGTAAGCATCTATCCGCGTGGTCCGTCCCCCTTTTTCATCCCGATCATCGAGGGAGCAAACTGCACAAGACAACAGCATTGCAAAGAGAAGAAAAAGTTGAAACCTAGCCGTCTGGCCAGCGTGGTATAGTAGGCCAAATCCTAGTTTCTAAGGAGAGACCTGTGTCCGGCGTTCGACTGTTAGAAGCTGTTGATGAATCATCTATCCATCCCATCTTACCTTTTTTTTTTATATTGAACTCTCAATTTCCGCATTAAAAGTCTAAAGGGCCTGGTTTACGGCAGACCCTATTACGTAAGTCACGTTAATCTTATCTGCTTACCCAGTTTAGGAGAAATAGGCGTGTGTGTATAAGTATCACATCAACAACCTTTAATACTGCTGGACATAGGTCTCTCCTTGGTAAATAAGTTTTGGCCTACCAGACCACGCTAGCCAGACGAGTTGGTATAGGGTTTGTGTTTAGGCTTCTCTTTGCAGTATTGTTGTTCTGCATCGTTTGGAGCAACTTACAACACCCAGGGAATGAATGGGTGGATGGTGACCCTCCGTATTCTTAATCCGTCACAACAAGGATGTGTATATATATATATTTTTATTCATAATTCTTCATTTGCTTTTTTTTCAGACGATTAAAAGTTTCCCGTTAGTTGACAGCCCGGCATCCATGGTACTGTTAGGTTCAATCCACAGGTGGGAGCTGGTAAAAGTCATAGAAAAACAAGTGGGCAGAGACAGAAGACTCCAGATTGCTGCGTTGTGGCATAAAGAAGCAGAGATGAGGAGGAGAGACGAAGAAGCCAAAAAGAGAGTGAGACGACCTTCGAGATTTGAGGTGAGGATCAAATGATACCTTGGTATTCAGGGCATACCAATGCCTTCACGATGTAGATTCCAAGGTTTAAATAAAATTATCGATTTTGTAGGTGACTCCTGCACCAGATATGCTCCAGGTACCTGGTACCGGCATGACGAGAGGATCTTCGTTAACCACCAAAGATCAGGGAGGACTTATACCTGGTATGTGTTCTTAGAATAAATTATGCTAGCTGCAGATTTGGTCATAAATCATTGAAAAAAGATAACATTATTGCGCTCTCTCTCTTATGAGTAAGATATCGCTCGCTAGATTGTGTTAGCGGTGCGATGAAAATTACTATAAATTCAAATAGTCAAGAACTTAAATATTAACGAATGAAAAGTATGTTTGTTAATTAAATTAGAACAATAATAAGTAGGAAATAAGATAATGCATGTAGCAGTTATGACCGTGAGGTTTATGACCGAGTCTACATCAGAGAAATTTATTTAAGTAATTATTACTAATACACATATTGTACTTATGCCCTTTGTACCTAATATGCTACTGTTACAGCAGGTTCAAGAGGAGGCACCCTAACAGTAGCGTGGCACTTCCAGAAACTTCTAGATAAATTATCATGGTTTGACTATTTGAACCGTACGTCGTGTTTTTTGTTCTAGTTAGGTTATTAGCAAGATGAGCAGTATTCTCGTAGTGTAGATGTTTCTATTGTTGATTATATATCACGTAGTTCTTTTGAGAGTTACCTCAATTGACTGTCAAGTCAATGACGCAAGGATCTCAAGGTCAACTGAGCTTGTATTTAGTTAATTTAAACAATAGATTTAGTTAAGAAGATTTTAAAATCTTCTTTAACACTTAAATTATTTTGTCACGTTTCTTCCGAGTGTGCAATTTCAACGTTTAATCAACAGCAACTGATTTCATTTAATTGTCTTAATTTTAACTGATTTGATTTTCATTTTTTTCTTTTTATGTAAACGCTCTACTCTTCGTAACTAGGAACAACAGCAGGAAGGTAACTTATAAGATCTGTGAAAATAACCCACCCCATGTTTTTTTTTACTTTATGCACAAAGTGTACAGAGGTGAACTTAATACTAAAAGCATTCTTTTCCAGTATACCTTTTGGTGTAAATTAGGTGCATTAAAGAATGTAGAAGAGTAATATGTAAAGAATATAATGAAGCAAACAGTTCATAGATTTATTCAAACATCACCCTACCCTTTAGCAGCAGAGTAGTCATTATTGATTCACATCACATCAACAGCCTGTAGTAGTCCACTGCTGGACATAGGCCTCTCCTTAGAAAGGAGGTTTTGGCCTAATATACCACGCTGGCCAGTCGGGTTGGTATAGGGTTTGTGTCAAGTTTTCCTTCTCTTTGCAGTACTGTTATCCTGCGTAGTTTGCTCCCTGAGTCGGCTCTTACGACACCCACGGGATGAACAGGGGTGGTGACACTCCGTATTCTTAATCAATCACCACACGGACATTATTGATTAAATTAGTAAATTTGTAGTTGAAAAGGCATATTTGTACTATCCAGTGTTGGTTTATTTTCTGACAATCTTTTTGTTCCTTTCCAGCACCAGGCCAGCTATTCCGGCCAAAGTCGATTTTGAAAAAGACAAACTCCTTTACGTTGACACGAGGGCTGTCTTCAGGAGGATCGACCCCTCAAACACCAATGATGCCTCAACCTTCGGTGTATACCACGGTGACTGGCGCTGAGACGAGGTAAGAAAAGTGTACATGTTATGATATGTTACTAATAAGTATAAGAATACTAGCTTATACCCTGCCACGCTGCAGAACTTGTTGAATTTTTAAAACGAACGCAAACCAACTTAACAATATATATATATATAGACAGAATGACTACTAATCCTGTATATGAAAAGTTCTCATGCCGATTGGTATACATAAGTTTTCAACATCAACCGTTTGGCCGCCGTCCACTATACAGGATCACTATACCGGGTCAGAGGACCCTCCCTTTGTATTGGATGAAATGACACACGTTCCTCCATACATGATGACTATCCCTGGTCAGAGGACCATCCCTTAGTATTGGATGAATATGACACACGTTCTTCAATACATGATGGCTATCCCTGGTCAGAGGACCATCCCTTAGTATTGGATGAATATGACACACGTTCTTCAAAACATGATGGCTATCCCTGGTCAGAGGACCATCCCTTAGTATTGGATGAATATGACTCTCGTTCCTCCATACATGATGACTATCCCTGGTCAGAGAACCCTCCCTTTGTATTGGATGAATATGACACACTTTCCTCCATACATGATGACTATCCCTGGTCAGAGGACCCTTCCTTTGTATTGGATGAAATGACAAACGTTCCTCCATACATGATGACTATCCCTGGTCAGAGGACCATCCCTTAGTATTGGATGAATATGACACACGTTCTTCAATACATGATGGCTATCCCTGGTCAGAGGACCCCCCTTGTGTATTGGATGAAATGAAACACATTCGTCCACAAAACATTCTAACGATCTCTAACTCACTTTAAGTAGATGAGTTTGAGAGATGCTAGGTGTTACCATTCCACTTAAACGCAATCCGTCTGAGCACGGGTTTATCTTTAGGCATAATTATTAAAAATTTCTTTCTTTACAGAATCCGTGCCGCATTTGAAGCGATTTTCAAACGTTCTTCATTACTGCAAGATGTTGAGGGTGGTCTACCAGATCAGCTCAGTCCATCTTCGTTGCCAAGAAGTCCATCTATCAATAAGAAAGTTCAACTGGTATGTCTCGACATGTTTTCTGCAGTTTTTTTTAATGTAATTGGGGGCAAACTAGCAGACGGGTCTCCTGAATCTATGTGCACATGTCCACTTGCACGCAAAAGATACCTACGAGACCCCCCCCCCTTTATAAATAAGGGGAGAGGGGGGTGAAAGGTTCTCCGGTCGAGCCGTATTTCTTTCTCACAGTAAAAATGTGTATTTAGTAGTCAAGGTTAGACGACCGGATGGCGAAGTGGTTTGTGTAAGGACTGCTATTACAAAGGTCGCGGTTTCGGTTCCCGCTCAAGTCAAACATTTACGTGCTTGAACATTTAATGTTTGATTTGGTCTGGGTGTTCCTATGTATAATTATGTATGTTTTTACAAAAAAAAAAGTATATATGTATTTATATCAGTTGTCTGATACCCATAGCACAAGCTTTGCTTAGTTTTGGTTCTAGATGGCGTTGTGTAAATGATTTAGAATATTAAGGTGTCGAACAATAAAACTCACATTCGCGTTTATAATCTTTTAGCATACAACGAAATAGTTATTAATATGTTTACTTGGTTCCTCATGTATTTTATGGTTACAGCCCCGTGAGCGTGTATGCGACATGTCACCCGAAGACCAGAAGGCGTGGGAACTACTGGAAATGGCCAAGGAGATTGATTTTGACAGGATGCTTCAGATTGCTAGAAAAAGGGATATGGTATGTCTTGTTTTTTCTTTACCAGTCTAAGGTTTAACTGTCTCTCAAAACAAGTTCTTTTTTTAACGACTACCCGCACATGAAATGTATCCTGTGTCGTATGGGAAATTTACAAATATTGACGATACGGACACAAAGAACACAGACACAGAACAACAATTTGTGGATCACACAAAGTGTTGTCCCATGTTGGAATCGTACCCATTACACTCAGTGCAGTAGGAAGCGGCGAGGTGACGGCTTAAACCACTACGCCAACCCTGCAAGTCTTGTTTGGAGACAAGATATTTATGTAAATTTTCTCTTCACTCTCCGTGCAGATGGTTAATAGGTTCTTAAGTCTTTGAGTTCCTTCTATAAGTTAGCTTTATCCTAAAAGTTCGATTTCTTCCAGTAGCTTCAACGTGAAGGTCTCATAAACATAGTAACTCATCAGACACTTTTTCTTGTCAGAAGTCAGTCATCAGACTCTTTGTTACAGCATCCTGATGATCCAGAATATGAGGATGAGAACCTGTACATCTGCCATATTGACCCTGCACCATTCCAGCTGGTTGAGAGAACTTCATTACTCAAGGTTAGTTCTATACTGAAAAAAATAGGGAAGCCTATTATGCGTATAAAGATTAATGAGTAAAAAGACCGCTATTGTTAACTCATGACTGCTTCGGTGGTGCAGTGGTAGTGTATGCGACTGCTGTCATAAGGTCCCGGGTTGGACCAAATGTGATCTGCAAATATTTGTTTCGGAGTTTGGGTATTTTCTATGTATAGTGTGTATATGTATATAATATGTAAGAAATCTCAAAACAAAAAACTTGGGAATGAAAAGTGTCATTGTTCTCTCAGAGATTAACAATTTTTTATTGTTTCATTTTATTTGTTTTTAAATACGCTTGATTTTCCATTATGTCGATTCTATCATGCAAAAACTTTTTTGAACTATTTGTTAATCCGCGATTTTATTAAAATATAATGGATCGAATTGATCTATTATATTTATATATGACTTTTTCAATAACGTATTTTACATATTTTCAAGAAGGTTTTAGTACGTATTACATTACTAACGTCGGGTTATTTTTATTAAAAAAATATTATAAGAACACTACTTTGAAAATAAATGTGTGTGTGTGTTTTCGGACATTTGACACACAACGCCATCTAGTTTCTAACTAAGCAGAACTTTATTATGAAAGCTAGATTGCTCCACATAATGTCGAGATTAATTAAAAAGTTAACCAATATATTTTCAGGTCCACTCGCTATTCTCTACACTGGGGGTAAGCAGAGCGTACGTGACCGCCATCGGTAGACTAATTGGTGTCGTCTCACTTAAAGAGGTACGTTTGCATATTTCTTCCTGCCTTTATCAGCGCTTAGGGTCCTTTTTTTTATGTGTGGAAACCCCCTCGGGCCGTCACCTCCCGGGGTTTTGCGGTGGGGTTTGGTGTCGGTATCGAACCGGCTAAAACCATAAGGTGTGCCTAAAACCATACTGAGAAAGGGGAGGAGTCCGGGAACAGCTGATATTAAAACATCCGGACCCAGCACTTAGGGTCGTGGCTTAGCCTACAAGCAATGGCAGTTAAAACCCCAAAGCGGATACCTGCACTTGAAGGTGTTATTCACGTAATAAATAAATGAATATATGTAGAACAACATATATTTTTAAACATAAAACATTTGTATAAATTTCTTGCCTTATTTCCTCCAGCTCCGCAAGGCGATCGAAGATGTGAACTCTGGCGCTCTAACACTGGCTACCAGACCCGAACCCCCAACCACACCGTCATCCCCCATCATCATCAAGGTCATCACCACTGAACCGGCACCACCTTCTGACAGTGAAACTGCTAAACTCACCAGCAATGAAAAAGAAAAATGAACTGTTCGCTAACTATGTGGTATTATTACAGAAGGTATTGTAAGGGATATCAATCTTATGACTGCTATTAGAGATACGAAAGTTTGGATAAATGTTTGTTACTCAACCACATCAGAAGGGCTGAACGGAACTGGATGTATTTTGGCACAGAAATAGATTATAGTCTGGAATAGCACATAGGTTTTGATCCCGGTAAATTTTATAGACAATATTATAATAAGATAAGCGATAAGCTAAAATGAATAATAAAATGCCTAGTTCTGGCACTTTTAGTCAAACTGTGCCATTAACTTAAGGTATAAGTGGTCTAAGTGGATAAGTGGCGACATCTTCAAAAGTGACTAATTTTTGCATAGTCTTTTGGAACATATCCTATATGAGGCTTTCTTTAGTCGAGAAAATTAGCCTAAAATTAAAAAAAACGCAATTGATAATGTGATTGTTGTTAGTAAATACCTGATTTTCCTTTGTCCACATTATAATATTTACTTAGTACTGTACTTCCTTCTAGTTAAACGACAATGGTATTTAACTTTAAGGCTTACAATGGTTTTGTAAAAACCGGCTCCGTGATTAATTTTTTGGGAAATATACAATAAACTTGAATTGGAAAGTTTCCCATTAGAAGTTCTTAAAGAACTTTGTTTGGTTAGTTACTAAGTAATCTTGTAGTAAGGTTATTATAATATTGTAGGAGGCTGTCAATTGAGTATGTTTTTAAGTTCCTTGAGATTTTGAAGACCTGTGTTTTTTTGCCATTTATTGGTATCTGTGATGTGACTGAAAGTCGAGATTAATGTGATTAGTGAAATTCACGAGTCCAAAGATTAGAAAATTACAATGGGAAATTTCCCAATTTGATTTATTCCCATTTCTATGACTTTTTCCCAATAAAAAAAATACAACGCATAATTTAAGACTTGTCGTACAAAGACATAGATACGATTTTTATATATTACGTAAATAAATAAATCATAAATCGTCACAATTACGTAATTTTTTTTTGTTATTAATAAGTAGACGTATTTTTGATAAATGTTTTTTGATTATAGGTGCTTCCGACAAGAGATTAATAGTGTATGGTTCGTAGCCATTTGATACTTTAGCTTTTGTCACTAATGAGTGTTTAAGCGAGTCATCTTGTATGTGATTGGTGTTGAATGTATTATTTATTATATTTAATGTGTCGGACTTCATTCTGTGTTAAGTTGGTGAGGTCGCACGCCATGCAGTACCAAAACTGGTCCACGTAGGTCAGTCTCCTATACTAAGCTATCTGAACTTTGAAACTCTTCACTTGCATGGTATATAATGTTCAGGAAATATTTCGACCACATTGTAGAAATGTAATTAAAAAAAATACTTTAGCAATTGCTCATATTTCAGCTCCTATTTTTCGTTTATTTACATCTTTTCTATTATCTATTTTCTATCTTTATCCGACCTACGTAGGCTAATAATTTTATACAAAAGAATTTTATTCGAAATGAGCAATAATATTTTAAGTACATTGCTTGTAAAGTGCCTTAGATTTTATAATTGTTTCGTGTACAGACCGTCTATGAATCTATTTATTCTGATATTTAATTCTACAAAACCAACGTATATTTTGTAAAACTGTGTAATAAAATTACTAATATTTTTGACGATCTGTGTTGCGCGGCGTTGACTGCAATCTGAACACGAGGTTGTCAAAACTAGCAATTTATTATTCCATTTGTACGAATAATGTCTAAATAAATCTAAGTATGCAACAAGCATGTTACTCGCAAATGATTTTAGAAGAATCTTTGGGTTTTTTCAGTGGGCGGTTACCCTCATTTGGTATTTCGAATAAATACTTAATTTTAAATTTGAATATTGTATTAAGACGTCAGTCTGTACATGTAGCCAAATTATCCCAAGGCTTGTGATCTTTAAATTCATTCCAAAAGTGTTGTTTCTTAGCTGTTAAGTTTTAATTATAAATAGCTACTATCCACATGGAGTTTAATTTGTTTGTGCCCAGTTCTATGTAATACTGGGTTTGTATTTTGTCACAACTATTAAATAATGTCATTTCAAAACATTCAAAGCTTCAAGAAAAGAGCGTACCCCTAAAAGTCAGTAACGCATGGGGGGCGGTAGTCACTTACCATCAGATGACCCGTCTGCTCGTTTGTCCCATAAATTATATAAAAGTCTGTTTCGAAAATATGAATAACCCAAAGGAAGGTCGCATACATAATTAAATTAAGAGAGAGGCTCAGAAATATATATCATCATCATAATATCAGAAATATATATGAATATTAGAAATCCTCTGGTATGCTTCACAAATAAAAACTAGTCGTACCATCTTTAAAAGCTGAATTAAAACATATATTACCTTACACCTAATCTTTGCAAAGGAAATTCATATTAATCGCAGAACTTTATTTTACCTTGATAAATATTCCAAATATACAATTTTATACACATACCTACTATATACAATGTTATTTACTTCATATAATCAAATCTAAAACAATAAGATGTGGAACTGAGGCTACCGTTTAATTATGCTCTTGATTACTAGATGTCCTTGTTATCACCTATTAGACATAAAAAAACCCCAAATAAATAACATTCTATTCCCAACGTAGGATTTTTATTCCCAGTTATTTCAATTGTAAACAGTATACTTAGCAATCACAAGCATGTAAATCACGATAATATTTACAAAAATGGGTACATATATTTTTTTTTAAACCCAAGTCTGTGAATAAGATCTGTCTAATTTCGTCGTAACGACATTTTATAAAACAAAGATATTTGTACTTTATAGCTTCATATCGGGAGTGCGTCTATTTAAATCAAGTCAAAGTCGTAATCTGGTCCCAGATGCCACAATAGTTGGACGTATCCTCCAATACTGTGATGTCTATAATAAATGAATAATAATGAGAACAGAGTGTTGTTTGGTCACCATGTTATTTACAAAAAAAAAATTTTTGCTGAAGTATTTTTGTTTGTTTGAAAATTGACAGTTATTTAATTAAATAATACGTATTTTGCATTAATTCCGCCTTATGCAATATAATTGCAGTAAGTGTAAATAAAATATTTGCATACTGATGAGTTAAAAATAGTTAGACCTCATATGAACCCTAGCGAAATTTTACTTGTATCTTTATGGTTAAGTAAAGTTCATTGGATACGTATTATAATTGTTAGTGAAAATGTAATAAAAGTATTTAATAACAATGTGAAATGATCACTCGCATTAAAATTAAGTGATGACAAAGCACTGCCCGTCTGCAGAGGGTTGTAGTTTAAAGATGCATTTTTTGTGATCTGTCGCTATCGTAATAAATGTGTTCTGTGTCGTTAACTAAACCGTTGTTTTATTCTGACTACCCTACATTATGCAAGTTACTGAGAGATTAATAAAAAAGTAAATACATAAGGCAATTAACTTCTTGTAACAAATCCACGATGGTAAATTAAGTGAAAATACCAGTTGGCACTCCACACTTTAGTAGAATAGCGAGGGCGCAGTTGAATACAGGGCAGGAAACCACGTGGAGGTTTACTCACGAAAATTAATTTGAAGAAACTACCTCCTTAATGAAGAAATGCAGCCATTTTGCTTGTTTGAACGCAAATATCTAAAAGGATTGTGTAAGTTTCTTCAGAGATTAAAGATTAAATCTTCAAGAATAGGGATTTACAAATACCTAACTGTCGCCTGCGACTTCGAAGACTTAGAACTTGTTAGAAAAAACATATTTATGGGGATGTTAATATTTGTTAGGAATATTTATCTAATAATTGTCTTCCATATGTAAAGGCTAAAAATATATTATAACTATATATTTCTTACCGATCCATAATCCACAATGCAAACTTTTCCCGCCGTCAATGTACGTGGAGTGTTAACTTTCTTAGAAATTGGACTTTTTAAAATAAATATTAATATTTGCTCTCTCTATAGACTAATAAGATATTTTAATGCCTTTTTTTAAGTTATTTGTATCGGAGTATTACCACCGCCATTCATCCTGTGGGTGATATAAGAACCGACTTAGGCAGCAAACTACGCAGGACAACAGCACTGCAAGGAGAAGGAAAACTTGAAACAAACCCGATACCAATCCATCTGGTCGGCGTAGCATAGTGGGCCAAAACCTCCTTTCTAAGGAGAGGCCTATGTAGACTAGACTATCCAGGTAGTTGATGATGATGATGATATTTTGTCATCTGTCACTAATTAATATGCATTTAGAAAACTAAATCTACACACCATCCAGTTGAGCGGGTTAACTAAAAGATATGTTTCTAAGTTTTTATTTATTAAAATAAAAGTGCTAAAGTAAACGAAAGTGAAAGAAAAAAATAAAGTAAATGAAAAAATGTAAAGTGAATAAATACGAAATGCTGAATTACGATGTTTTGATGGTGTCAAAAGCGAGTCCCACCTACCCAATGACATTTTAAGGAAGATGCGTGAGGCCCTGGGTTCTCTGACCGTCTTTTGCGTGCAACCGACAACCGACGCGTGTCCGCCGAAGGTGGCGTACTCCGTAACTCCGTTAATCACCGACCCACATAAATTGTTGTTTGATACATCGAACAAGATAGTATTATATCTAATAATAATATAATAATAATCTAATGATAATAATAATTAGTCGCAGTGATGTTGTAGATGAGTCGCAGTAGTGATGAATTGATATTAAAATCATATGATTGTGATTTTATTCCATGCCTACTGAGAACCGAGCGCTGAGCATTTCCGTGCATAGCATTCATACGTCGCCGGCGGCGGACACGCGTCGGCGACGTATGTACGTATATGTACGTTCAGAGAATATTATATATAGCGGGCCTTATATTCATACTGCACCCACAAAATATTTGTTTCGTAACCGTACATACATCTATTAATACATTTTAGAACAAAACATACATTTACCTGTGTTTTGTCATAATTTATACACTTTCAGAATACACAAGAAGGTATTTTATAAATGTTATCGAATTAACTAGTCGCTCGCAGTGGCCCTACCATAGATTAAGAGATATGTACAGTGGCCCTACTACTAAAATTTCGGAGCTTATTTTGCTCTAAAATATTAGTCACACAGACAAAATTCAATATATTTTTCATTTTATCTAGTTAATTTTAAACATTTTGAAGGTCAAAAGTAGCTCTCAAAAAATCCTAGATCTGCTAGTGAGTCTCGTCGAAATCAGCCCAACTGTCTTGAACATTAGCACTGACAAGCAGACTGACATCTCAAAAATATCATCAAAAAGAAATACATCAGAAGAAATTAGATTACGAAAAATAAACTATTGATAAATACAGTTAAATCTTTCTAAATACATACATATTATCGACAAATTGCTCTCAGACACAGAACAAATCTAATATATTTGTGTTCATATTATGATCGTGCTCATTGCACAATTATTTGTCCTAGATGGGAATCATAGAATTAATTGCTTAATAAAAAAATTAACCATTTTACTACATGATCGTATTTATGTGATGGCATTATTTCGTATTAGTAAAAATGCAATTTTTAAATAAAATATTTCATCATATTTCATTTATCATACTTCTTTATTATTCTTATCGTCATTGACTAGTCTATGCACAAAAAGCAGAGCACACTAATTGCTATTACTTTCTATAAGGCGTATAAAAGGTTACAATGACGGCTCTATTACATAATAATAATAAAAAAATAGTTTTTGATATTCAATTCAATTTAATTATAATTCCATTATTTTTATGTGAATAGGTAACTAAGAATCTGACTATGTATTCTCTAAATAACTTCCTTTCTATTAGTATGGTAACACCGAAGCGACGTGGAGAAAAAAGAATTATTCGCCATTAAAATGGCGTCATCGAAGGAAACCTATTGTTTGTGTGGTCAACCATATAATATTGGACAATTTATGATAGAATGTGACTGCTGTCGTGAATGGTTTCATGGCAGGTAATGTGGAAAATATATAAATTTTAGTGTGAAAGTATTGTTGTGTGTTAAAAAAAATTATGTGAAGTTTGACAGTGTAAGCCCCTTCGGCCATCACTCGTTTAGTGGGATTGTTTTACATGATATTTCCTTATTTCTACTTGGTATGCTGGACTTTCTCACTTTCTTCAGCCTGAAATAAGTTAAAGTAACTCAGTGCATGTTTTTTTTATGTTTTCCCACAGTTTCTGTTTGTTTACATCTGCGGTCGCCATGGGTTTAACAAATGCGCTTTTCTGCTTTGAATGCTTTGTGTATATTTATATCAGTTCTTACTAAGAAATACTAATAAGATATTTTATTCTAACTACATAATACATATTTTAAATTTCTTATATGTGGTAAATACATTGCACTAGTTTTTTTTGCTTTGGAATTTATGATTGATTATTTGTTGTGAAATTCCATATGCAGTCATGATTTTATGTTTTTGAAACTAATGCATTGGGAATAAAAAACAAATCTTGAAGACTTTGACCTTCTTAGTTTTTGTTCACATTGGCTAAACTCAAGGTAGTATTTACACATGTAACAGAACACTTTTTATCAAATCAGAAGTGTGTAAATTAGTTATTTAGTTTGTCTTTTAGATGAAATAAATTAAAATTATAATGTTTAGTATAATAAATTATCATTTATTACTATTTTGTACAGTATGATTAATATAAATAATAGTAAATATGTTTTATTATTGTTTGATAACACTTAATGAAAAATAGCATTAGCTGTTAGGGAGTGACTGGCTAGTATTAAATTAAAAATGAATATTTTTTATGTTAGTAGGTGTGCTCATATGGTAATATAAAACCTAGGCAACTCAAACTTGTTCATTAAAAATAAAAGTATAAACCTCATTAGTAACACAATATTAACAAAATTGTTAAAACCACATATTTAATTAACATCATCAACAACAGGCTTTAACAGTCCACTGCTCAACATAGGCCCCTCCTTGGAGAGAAGGTTATGCCTATGCATGTATGCCAGACAGGTTGATATAGGGTTTGTTTCAAGTTTTCTTTCTCTTTGCGGTGCTGGTATCCTGGTTAGTTTCCTTCCTTAGTCAGTTCTTACAACACCCACAGGATGAATATTAAGAATATGGAGTGTCACCACCACTCTTGAGTGGCATAAAAAAAATCTTGTTTAAAGTTAATAATATTGTAGATACTATATTACTGAGATAATAATGTGGTGCATGTAATTATTTATGTAAGCAATTATCATGCATATAATGCATGGAGTATATGAAGTTCTACATTGTTGTAAACAATAAAATTGTGCTGTATTTTTAAATTTAATCTGCTTTAATAAGATGTCCTTGTGTTCTGCTTGTCATTTATTTATGAGAAGGGCATGATTTGACTAGATTTCTTTCAAGTGCTCATTTTTAAATAGCATAGAATCCTCTAATTATCAGCTAGCTAGCTATGTCATGACTTTGTTTAATTAATATATTCAAATAAACATTAAAATAACTGATTTGAATAGCCTGCATCTATCACTTAAACATTTAATAAAAAGATGCCAATTTGACATGATAGTTACCTATCCATCACCACACATACACACCATAAAAAATACAGTATGTTTTGACAGCTTCCTTAACATAATGTAGTATTCATGACAATTTTTTTTTTTTAAACTTAAACCTTACTCAAAGCTGCATAATAAAAAAGGTACATGTAAAATAAAATATAAAATTGTATCTAAACGCAAACTGAATATAGTCTAGAATAGCACTAACAAGAGTAATAGAAAATAATAATAATAACGTTTCACATCTCACACGGCAGTCTGGTCCCAAACTAGGCAGAGCTTGCATTATAGTAACCAGACTGCTGATAACATAAACATATATGTTTCTTCTTCTTACATATTATAGATAAATTACACAAATGGTCATGCTTATCACACAATATTTTCCATTTTTACATACTTAACAGTCAAAGTCACTGACCACTAGACTAACAGGCCTTTAATATATATATATATATATATATAAATCTGCTTGTGTAGGTAAATTAAGGTAGATGGCCAGAACAATTCCCTCTATGTCTTAACATTATTTTTAACCAAAACTATGTATAATAGTCACTCTTGACTTTGGCAGAATGTTCAATATCCGATGAAGTCATTGAATTAAAAGAAGAAGAAGGTAGTTGCCATACTGACTTTTAGTAAATTGTTTCAGCTGTGTGGATGTTAAAATATATCACTCCGACGACATAGATAAGTATCACTGTCCAAAATGTGCGCAGACTTACGGCCCTTCAGTATGTGAGTATTGTTTTATTTAGAGCTAGCTTTGGCCCGCGGTATGTGGTTGATCGTGGTTAAAAGTAGCCCATGCCCTCTCTCAGGAATCAAACTATCTATCTTCCCGAGACTACACCTAATTTCATCTAACTCGGTTCAGCGGTTTAAGCTTAAAGAAGTAACAGACAGACAGACACACTTTTGCAATTATAAGATTAGTATGCATTTGAATAATTTCAAGACTAATAGGGACTCCATGTCAGTTCTATCTGTTTGTTATTTTCACATGAAACTTCATCAGGCTGGATCATGGTACTACAGATCCTATTAACTGGCAGAACATGTCAGCTTTATGTTGTCACTATTAGCTCTCTTTCATCATTGTCTTTGGGGAGTGTTGGAACTCCATAGGAGTTATTAGTTAGAAATCCACCATGTTACAATCAATAAAATGCTTTTTGATACATAACATTCTATCATCATCCTCAACAGCCTTTGTCCACTGCTGGACATAGGCCTCCACAAGTTCAAGTCTTCCTTCTCTATGCAGGGGCATTGTCCCGCGTAATTTTCTTCTCTCTTACGACACTCACGGGATGAACACGGGATGATGACATTCTGTATTCTTAATCCGTCACCACACTCAATACTCTATATCAATATTTAAAGAGAATTCCATATATGCATTTTGTGTAACACATTAAAAAAGTTACACAGGCAGTATATATTTTGATCTCATAAATCTGTATAACTGTAGTTCAAGTTATACTGCCTGATGAAATAAACCAAAAAATCCAACTAATACAGTTAATTTTAATTACTGGTGATTTCTAGTACTTGTGAATATTGTATACATATAATTGGGTAAACAAGAAATTAATTGCATAATAATTACGATTACAGTATAGTAGAATATCATTATAAAGTTAATCAAACCAAATAAGTATTTATAATATTAACTCAGTATAAAAGAAAACCTCAGCTACCCAGTACATATTATCCAAAACTGACCCTTAATCGTAATAAAAATGTTCTTTCAGTAAAAGTTCCGACAAACAATCACCGCGCGGACCGCTACGAGCTGGGCGCAGAAGCCCGGCCGTCGCAGGTGGGCACGCCGGCCTGGGTGCGTGCGCTCGCCGCGCGTCCCATGCGCCCCACCACGGCCGCCCTTCAGCGGCTGAGCCCGCACCAGTTCACTGAGGAATTTATTAGGGATAATGGTAGGTCTCACTGGCAGCATTGCTACCTTCTTTAATTTAGTCTGACAGGTTCGAATCACTGTTGGTTGGTTGGCTGGTGTCATGCCGTATTCTTAATCCGTCACCACATGGATGTCGCCTGCTGTCTGCCCCAGCTTTAAGCACTCAGAACTAGAACAGTCGGACATCTGCTCCATTTTTTTAAAAGCCGTTCTCAATGTACACATGATGTTTAAATGTGTTTTTTTTCTGCACAGGTTTCACAAGACCAGTGACTTTCGTAACCACAGAGGGACTAGACATGAAGATACCAAATTCAGCCACATTTACAGTTAGGTCCGTTCTACGATTTTGTGGTGCACAGCTTGAGGTTGGTATTAACATATTTAATAAGGGCTACTAATAATTATACTATTATCACTTAATTCAGTGACAAAATATCTGTAGTTTAGAGTTTTTTTTTTGTTGCTGTTTATTGAATTTTTAATTACTTTTTTGCAGGTTGAAGTGATAGACGTTCGGAAACAATCGACACTTCGTATGCCGCTTGGTGATTTTGTGGACTACTTTGAAACTCCACCTGAACATCGGGATGAGAAAGTCCTCAATGTGCTCAGCCTGGAGTTTAGTGAGACTAAGTATGTATATTTTTTCGTATAAATCTTCGTTTTTCGGTTATTGTAATCGAATTCACAATTACGACTTAAGTAATTAAGCAAAAGAATCAAAGGAACCAATCGATATAGAGATGAAAAAAGTGTTTATTATCCGTAAAAATAGGAAATTATTAAAATTTAAATTAAGTTAATTAATTGCTTATTACTTAAAGTAAGAAGTTCAAACAGTTAATTACTTTTTTAATATTTACAGATGTAAAGTGATAGTTAAATAAGTCAAGCAAAGAGGTGTATTGCATAAAATAATGATTTTAATAATATAATATTATAACAATGCGTGTGTAGTATTAATTACGACTAATGTGCCTATTAATGTTAATGGGAATATTATTAATATTACACGACGAAAACAATTATTATGCATTTATTCCAAGACTTTATATGAGAAGTCTTGATACTTTAATACATCTGTTTGACTACCTCGGTGGTGCAGTGGTAGCGTATGCTACTGCCGTGCTGAGATCTCTGGTTTCATTCCCGAGTCGGACCAAACGTTTATATGATCTATATCTAGAATATTTGTTTGTGTACCATGTACGTATTTACAATAAAAAAAGGATGGAAGTATCGTATCAGTCAATCTAGCTTTGATAGTACAAGCTCTGCTCAGTTAGAAATGTTACGTTATTGGCGCAGCATGTCCCGCTGCGTGGACCCGCCGCTGGTGGCGCGCGCGCTGGACTGGGCGGGCGCGGTGTGGGGGGGCGCGCGCGAGCTGCCCCCCGCGCCCCCCGCGCCGCACGTGCGCAAGTACTGCCTCATGTCGCCCGCCGGGGCCTACACCGACTTCCACGTCGACTTCGGCGGCACCACCGTCTGGTACCATGTTCTGCACGGACGTAAGGTATTACATTATCATCGCTATATGTTACACCGATACGGTTGTGAATTCCTTGCTCGACGTTTTGCACGGTAATGAACTTTTATTTACCGACTGCGCCAGGGACGGATTTTGTTTTTCTATACAGTTTATTCATAGCCTGATAGATTTTAGCTTGGAAGTTTATGTTTTTTTATAGACCATCACACTTATACGAACCTGCACATGTTAAATATATTAGTTTTAATAAAGTAAAGACTGCACGGACGGCGTAGTGGTTTAAGGGGTTGCCACTCTGCTTCCTACTACGCCGAGTGTTGTGGGTTCGAACCCCACATGGGACGACACTTTGTGTGATCCACAAATTGTTGTTCTGAGTCTGGGTGTTCTTTGTGTCCGTTACATGTTTATAAAGTCCCCCGCGACACAGGAATATAATTCTAATGCGAGCGTTGTCTTTTTTAAAAGAAGAACAAAGCAAGTATGACGTGAATATTGCTTTCTTTTCAGATATTCTACCTGATCCCCCCCACGTCAACGAACCTGGCTCTGTACCAACAATGGTGTGCAGCGAACAACCAGAACGAGCGCTTCTTCGGTGACGTGGTGGAGTGGTACGGCACTGCCGAGGTGTCGGCCGGACAGACGCTGTTCATTCCGAGCGGCTGGATACACGCCGTGCTCACCCCGTGTGACTCTCTCGTCTTTGGAGGGAATTTTCTGCATTCTTACGCTATTGAGATGCAGTTGCAGTGAGTCGATCGTTAGATTATTATTTGAATATATCAGTAAGGTACATCCGAGCCGCCACGAGTGTTCTTCGTGGCTCAACATTGTAGTTAGATTACTTATTTATTTATTTTTTGTTAAATTTGTATGTTTGTTTCACTAATAAAAAAAAAATAGCGGATAAGATTGATGTATTCTGACATGGCAGCGTATCGCATTAGGTTAACCTGTAATTCAGTGTCGTGTACCGTGATGTCCCCGCGCAGGATCTACGAGATCGAGCGGCGCGTGGAGACTCCGACGATGTTCCGCTACCCGCTGTTCGAGGCCATGCACTGGTACGCAGGCGCGCACCTGCTGTCCGCGCTGCGCAGACACAACGAGGAGACGCAGGTTACACCTTTTATTCTAATTAATTATTATTCTCTTTATTTATTTTATATACATATTATTTACATTTTTAAACATACACTTTATAAAAAATTATATAAAAATACATTTAAAAATATAAAAAATAGTAGACCACCGACATCGGGTACAGGGACCAAGACACCGGTGGTTAGGACTCCAAAGATAGGAACCTCCTAACTATACGAGCCGTGTCAAGGAGGACTGCCTTCTGCATCAGACCCTTGATCCAGCCGTCCAACGTGAGCCTCTTAAGGTGTTGGTCGAGGCTCTTGGCTATCAATCCGTGAGCAGATACGACTATCGGAACAATGATCACTGAATCAACATTCCATATATCGACAATCTCGTGAGATAAATCCAAATATTTAATTTGTTTTTCTTTTTCAACTTTCACGAGATTCTCGTCATGAGGAACGGCGATATCAACAATCATTGCGCGGCGCTCTAATCGATCTATCAGCACAATATCAGGCTTATTGGCAACAATAGTCCTGTCTGTGATAATAGATCGATCCCAATACAACGTGGCCCGACCATTCTCGAGAACTGGGTCGGGCACATACCTGTAGTATGGCACCTCTAGATTCACAAGATGGTATTTAAGGGCAAGCTGTTGGTGTACGATCCTGGCTACTTGGTTGTGCCTGTGCAAATATTCTCCGTTAGCCAGACGAGAACAACCAGAAATAATATTCCTGATTGATTCGCCAGGACGGTGGCATGCCCGACAGATGTCAACCGTACCATCTTTCAGGATATCTTTCCGATAGTTATTCGTCATGATAACTTCGTCCATAATCGCACAAACAAAACCTTCAGTTTCTCCGAAGAGATCACCATACCGTAGCCAAGTCGTAGATGCTTTTAAATCTATATCGGACCCGTTTAGGGCCCGATAAAACCGACCATGGAGCTCTTTGCCCTTCCATACTTCCCTGCGATCATTAACACCAAGTACTACAGATATTCTACAGATACTTCTAGATACATAATAATCTATATATAAATATATATTTTAAGAGACTCACATACCGTGGAATATAAAATGTACAATCAATCCGAGGACCATACAATTTATAAAAGTTTGTTTACACATAGAAAAATGTTTCAGGATGAAGAGTTTACCCTCAGTGAGAGTGTATCAGCGCTGCCGGCGTTACCCCCACTGTTGCTGCGCGGAATCAAGATACTAGCTAATGCGCTTAAGGAGTGGCACGCCTTGAAGGCTGTAAGTATACATCTCTCTTAAACTTAATGCAAATGCAATTGGTGTAAGAAAGTTGAAATAATAATGTAAGTTTAGAAAAAAAATAACACAAGATTTTTAATTTAAAAGAAATAAATTAAATGTTTAGAGTTTGAGCATAGTTCTAACCAGACTTTATTTATAGACGGATACATCGAAGCGTGACAACGTCCCTAAATGCCTGAACTCCGGACAACTCGTACGGGAACTATGTAAAGAGCTGAGGACATTGGAGAAACGCTCTACGAGCACTGCTAGTAAAGATAAGGTATGTATAATTAAATAATTACCTACAGTAAAACACAATACTTAACTTTTTATCAATTTAAAATACACAATGATTTTTTCCTTTCTTTTGGAACGGGGGGCAAACAAGCAGGCGGGTCATCTGATGGAACTCGACTACCGCCGTCTATGAACGCTTGCAACTCAACACTATTTTTAATACATATTTTAAATTTAAACTGCATGAATGGCACATGGTGTTGTGTGCCATTGTGTCATTCGGGACAAGAAATGTCCCGAATGATTTGTCCGAGATGGTGTTCGAGGTGTTCTTTGTGTCCTTCCTTTTTGTTGTTTGTATAGCTCCTCAACATTGTTAGCGCGAATTTTCCTTTATAAATATAAAAAAAATGTTCCTGTATAAAATTTAAATTTTTATATTCCACTTGTAATTTACAGGATTACAAAATCAAAAACACATCGCCAAACAAATCTCACTCCAAGAAACAGGTGAACAGTTCTAAGAAATCTATGAAGCTCACCCTACCCAAGCCTATAATGCACATGACACAAAACGGAGAATTCGTGGAGGAGAAAGTTTATGCTGATAAGTTTTTCATAGAAAATAAGGTAAATGTTTACACCATTGTATCCCGTTTTCCAATCATAGTTGGTTAAGGTAGTGCTACTGTTGCAATAACTACAGAAAGTGACCACGTGTGTTATATAGGTAGGATGCTGAGGCTGATCATTTGCATTAAGCACCTAAACTACTATATAACAATGTAAGTATGGAAAACATTAAACAATAAGGAAGTGTTTAAACCTGATTAGTGTAAATTCTTATTTGAAATCATTTTCTGTTTATGTGGGCGTTTCTCTTGGTATATTCCAAAATAAAGAACACAAAATTAACATTTTATTGGTTTATTTTTTAGAAAATACTGAGCATCCTACCTATATACACGTGGACGGGCTGTAACGTATACTGTGCTTCCTGGCCACAAACAATTGCTTTTTTAACAAGATATGTTTGGGGTACATTTAATCTATTTATTGGGACTGCAAGAACATTTAATTTGTACGTCCATGAATTACAAAATCGAATATATTACTGTGTTTGGCTCCAGTCGATCATCCCCGAAACATGCTCGTTAGTAAAACAGTACATCATAGTGCACCATGACAAAATATTTGGTAATAGCCACATAGAGGATGGAGGATAGTCATTTCTATTCCTTATTCCTGGTTTTAGGAGAAACAGGATTTATTAATAAAAACTGCTGAGTCTTTTGTTTACTAACAAACATTAAAAGACGCAAACGAACTATATTCTATAGTCAACAAATCAAAGTTTTAACAAGCATCATTTTACAGTTTATATAACCCCTTCGTGTCTTTTTTTTATGATACACACATAAAATATATAGGGGGCACACGAGCAAACAGGTCGCCTGATGGAAAGTGACCATCGCCCCCCATGTTTTCCTGGGCAATAGCATAACTTAATCTTCACACAGCTCACAAGAGATAATAATAATAATAACCTCATACATAGGCAGAGCCTGTACTACGGTAACTAGACTGCTGATAAACATATTTAAATATTTTTAAACACATATATATTATACTGCTGTGCAGTTTGGCAGAAGTAATTGAATATTGTAATACGTTTTTAAATTTAAATAAACAATATTATATTATTATTATTATTATTAGATAAATTACACCCACACACGGAACAAATGATCATGCTCATCACACAATATTTTGTCCTGGGTAAGCATCGAACCCAGACCTCCGACTTTGTTGTCAGAGTCACTGACCACTAGACCAGCAGGCACGTCATATACATATTAATTCTATCTCGTGACAATAAAATAAATTAGTCTATGATTAAAAGGCTACTTTTTAAGTTATCTACAATGTATTTATTGATGGCTCTTTCCTGCAGCATAACGTGGATGAAAATGAAAGTGAACCAATAACAACGGTATTTAATTGTTGGAAATTTATGGCTTCTTTAGTAGCTCTATTATTTTACGATATCATAAAATGTCTATAACATAAACGTTTTTGTGTTGTATTTGTTCTAGCATGCGTTAAAATATTCTAGATAAAAATAGGGTACATTCCTACTTTTATATTTAGTATTTTATGATTTTGCATGATAATGTGATCTCTAATTTAGATATTGTTTACCAGTAGTCAAGTTGGGATTACTTTAATATTATTATAATAGAAATTCAATTCAATATTCTATCTAGTAATAAAAAAAAAGAGACCGTGCGTGTGTTTGTCCTTTCTTCTCATAAGGCCTTAGAAATGGACGGTTGTAGATTGGCACAGGCATATAATGGATCGAATTTATCTTGCTAAATATTTGAACAGATTGTTGCTATTGTGTGTATTGATCTACGACTTTAGAGTCTCTGTAAAAGACAGTTCAAATAATAACAAAAAAAAAAGAAATTATTTTGACTTTGATGATTTGATGCAAAAAAAATATTCCTAAAGGTGTTTAACTAAAATCTCAATTATGTGAATAACGTGTAAATAAAATAATAATAATACAGTTATCAAAAAGTATCATGGTTTACTGTCGAACACTGCAGTATTATTAAGTCAATATGTAATCCACTTCTATACCACAAACTTCACCTAGTGTACCCTTACTTGCTTACTTCACCCAGTTAATTTTATAATTATATTAAACAATCGATTTTAAGTATAGAGCCAACTCGACTTCGTGCTGCTTTTTATCCGAATTACAATTTAATAATATTGATATGGTTTATTATTTATATTTCAGGAAGTAATCTATCAAGAACGATACGTACCTCAAGAAGTAATACGTACTAATGGACTACCAGAGACTAAGTTTGTAATTGACAGCAAAGATGTAGTGATACAAGAGAAATATCCATATCAAACATACGAGGAGGTTCCATATCACGATGGTAATGGCTATGTCGATCGAGTGGATAAGAAGAATGCGATCAAGATTAAAATGAAGTAAGTGCATGCCATATTAAACGACATTGTTATGTATTAGTAACTAAAATAAGGTTCACTTCTTCCTCTGAGCCTTTATCCCAACCTAGGTTAGAGTCGGCCTTAAGTCTACTGCGACACAGCTGAACTTCGATTTTTTACGTTCACCGACTGCCATCAGAGCTCTACGACTCAAGTACTAGCCGATATCAGAGTTCTGTAGATAAGACTGTTTTCGGATTTTTTACGGCTTTTCATCTGAATAAGTTCAGCTGTTTTTGATTCACCATACAAACTTCTCACCCTCTTTCACCCCTTAAACAATGATTTCTGGGATAAAACCTCCAACTTCCCGTTACGATTGCCACAGATGTTCGTATGGCAAGCGGGACCGACGGCTAAACGTGTTAAGAATGGACACCCATCCATAGACTAACCTGGCTAGGATTGCTTAGCTTTACAATGTGTTAACCTACTCTGTAACCACTTAGCCCCGAGCCACTAACACGAAATGAATAATGTACGATGTTTAAATAATTTGATATTGATATTGGTTTTTATAATTGCACAATTATTTATAAAGTGTGGATATTTATTTTACGAATCTTCTTTTTTTTCACGAATACTGAAAATATATTTCAGTTTAGATGTCTTATGATCAATCATTATACATTATCAGAAACAAATACTGCCAAATAATTAATTAGATCTTATAATTTTCAAAATCTGTTTCTAGCAACTCACCATCATCATCAAGAGACGAAGCGCCTCCTCCCTATTCCCTCCCCGAACATTCGATCCTCAAATCCCACTTAATACGTTCAGAGCAACGTCCTACATTAAAGCCAATCCATCAGTGGACTATATCTAAGAAGGACATAGGTGATTACCATGAGGAACAAATATTGTTCACCAACGAAAATGTTCAAGGCACGTTGAGGATGGATGGACAGGAAATGACCTATGGACCTGGTGAGTAATTTTTTTATCTTGCTATAATTTGTTTGTTTTTTTTTTTATGTTAGAGGGGGCAGACGAGCAGATGGGTCACCTGATGGAAAGTGACTATCGCCGCCCATGAACGTCTGCAACTCAGGAGTCACAAACGCGTTGCCGGCCTTTTTTGTTTAAGAACTAAAATTTTAATAGTTAAAAATGAATGTGTATGCTGTTACAGCAACATTGCTATACAACTTACTTTACCGGGACTAATCCCTCCCACACAACCACCACTGTAACTAATGTACGCCAAGACCAACAGTTGTGACTCACGAACACACAGCGTCATGACACTCGGGAAGTCCCAGGAGAAATTAATTAGAAGAAATTTCGAGGAGTTCGAAATAAAATAAATCCACTTCCACTCTTAGCAAAGTGGGTGACAAAATTAAGTAAAAATAGGCATATAGCCTTTTAAATAGGGAAACACCACGGACACAAAATATGGGTGCTAAGAGAGCTACATTTGATTTCTATATGTGTATATGTATGCCAAACGCACGGAAATTCACCCTAGGTGACCCAAGATCCTCATAGTATACCACCCCAGATGTTAGTATTCAACCGTAGACTGTGTATCAAACTATACACGTCACTAAACTTTACCTATGATATTGTGAACCAAAAAAAAACTATTTTACAATATCACTTGTTATATTACTACTAACAGAATTAAAAGACCAAGTAAAGCTAAATTTTTTCTTGGTTTTTGTTGGGCTGTATGTAAGTGAAAAATGATTGTATCGGAGATTCAAAAAAGAGTTTTGATTCTTGAAGATTATAGTTTTTGGATCTTTGGGCCAAACAAACCAGAGGCCACGGCTTTAACGCAATCTCAAAAATATAGCGAAAATCGCTGGGACTTTTTTTTTCAGTTAAAAAACTATATGGGCCGTCAGATAACTCTATTTACTCAGTTTTAATTTCCTTTTTTTTAGATTCTTGCTGTTTATATATCCAAAATTGACCTGTCTTATCACTACTTATCATATTAAGTTCTGAATATTGTTATTTGCTCAGGTATGTACTCAGCGGAGGACATACAGCAAGACTATCAGTACTCAGAGTCGGCAAAGCCGGGCTCGTACCAGCCCGCCGAGTATGGGTACCAGCAGCCGCAGGACATCGCCTACAGCGTCGACAACTACCAGCGATACGAAGAGGTCTTGCCTGCGACTGTACATCAAGTAAGATTCGATTATTTCTCCAAATTTGTTCGGAATCCTCTGGCCCTCTAAAGTTGTAAACACACTTTGACGCAGAAGCTATTAGGTTAGTCAAAATAGCAATAAGCTAGTCGTAACTAAATTAAGTAGCTTCAAATAGCTTACAATTTGCAAAGACTGAATGATTATGCAAAGTTAACAGTAATAAGGACTTTATTTTGTTTACAGCAAACGGCAAGTTATAGTAACGTGGCGGTGCAAGAGACAGTAAACGGCACGTATCACAATCTACCGACGTACGACGCTGCGATCGCTCACCAATATTCGGCTACCACTAACTATGTTAGTATTGTTTAAATTATAATAAATATGAAATAGAAGTAACAGCTTAAAATAGTTTTGGCATTATTAAAATATGCCTATTATGTGTGCGTAATTCAATTTCATGTGCGGTTCTATTCATCTCGAAATTTCTTCTCTTTCGACGTTAGCACTGCAATTTTTTTACCTTCTAAATGTCATTTAGAAACTTGAAACACAGTGAGGATCCTTATTGTTATTCATCATCCGAAAATAATGTCATATGCTTTTGCCTTCATTATTATCATTGCACAACGCACTTGTGACTTTTGAGCTGCAGGTGTTCATGGGCGGCGGTAGTTGCTTACCATCAGGTGAACCGTCTCCTCGTTTGCCTCCTTATACTTGACTAGAGTTGGTATGGAACTTTTTTGCTCATAGGCAGCTTACTGAGTTAGTCCACGAGTCGTCTTCGCTCCTACGTATTTACCTCTTGTACCTTTCTCTGTTCGGTTAAAAATCTTATTTTGCTTCATACAGGTTGTTGAGGAAACGAAACCTGGGTTAATACAAACACAGCCGACAGCGCCAGTCCGCCGCTCAGAACGTCCAGTAAGGCGGCGGGTATCAAACACTTACGACTACGAAGACTCGGACCTATATATCGACGACACGCCTGCCCCGAGACCGCGGAAGAGCAAACATACCAAACATTCTTCTTACAGACAGAGTAATGGTAAAAATATTTATCTTTTTATATTGTTATTGAAATTTTATGCAAAACTAAAACTTGAAAATGCTGTTGCAAGAAACAAGAAAACGAACAAAATCATGCTTCATTTAAAATGCAACAACTCGTTTCTCGTATTACATATTTAGTTGGGTAAGATCCTCGCGTAACACATATAAGTTCATACTATTATCCTGATGATGTTCATATTAGATATTATAATCGTTTTGTTTTGTTCGAAGTGTATTGATTATCGGGTTGACTAAGTTAGTACTGTTTTAATTTATAAAATAAAATATACAGCCCAAAAAAGCCAAAGTGCGATTCCAAAAAAAAAATTTGTTTGTAATTAGCGGCAGCGTCGAACCCGTCGAGCGCAGGAACCAGCTACAGCCGGGCGGCGCGGCCCGCCCCCGCCAACGGCATCGAGTCGCTCATACAGGCCTCCGTGCTCGCCGAGGAGGAGCAGCCCGCCAACGACACGTGCGTATACTCTCACTGGCCTGGTGGCGTCTTCACCCACACGAACGGGGCCTCAATTCTGCCGTTTTATGTCAACGCCACTGCCACTGTCATTCCATTGACACGCTATTGAAATGCCATTGACATCGGTCAAAATATCGGTATTCTACTAAGATAAATTGCCATATCGGGAAAATTAACAAATTTAAAATGTACGGTTTACAAAACTATTTACAAAGACATTGAAAACATTTGTATCGGTTCCGAGTCATCGGGAAGCCATTGATCTTACATAGTTAGTAGAATAAGAAAAGTGCAAAACTATTCCGACGACATTCCATCGACAGTATTGATACAATATTAAAATAGCAGAATTGAGGCCTAGGACATATATTATGTGTACGCTACTCAAGCCCCTTCCAGTCTCATTCTCATTCCCCATTGGACTTTAACTGTGAGAAAGCAATGGTACAAATGGCCCGACCGGAGTGACACCACAGCCTCACAAAAAATCGGAAGCAATTGTTTCGATGCTTTTCACCGAGAAATTGTGTCGTTACATGAGCTTAATCTCCCCAATCTCTGGGGAGGGCAAGATGCACTCAAAGGGTGCCGAGGAACTGGTGACTCATAAATTGCATGTGTCTATAGGCGGCTTGTGTGCACTCCTTTACAACAAAAAATCTATCGGTAGTTTTGCTTCTTACCACAATTTATTTTCTTCTTTTTAAATTATTTTATGTTTAAGAGATTGAAGCAGTTATTTGCCTATTTGTTGTAGTACTAGTGATTACATAATTTAGTTATATTTCAATAAAAAGTAGTACTAGAAAAAAATATTGTTTTCTGAAATATGTTTTTGTTACTCTGCAAAGTGCACTATTCACTGTTTCTATTTCTATTTATGGTAACAGTTAAAGTTAAGTCAGTAAAACTATATTTACAAAATGTCTAGACACCTTTTATTATCAGCAGGGCTTGCTTTAAGTTCTATATAAAATCAGGTCATTAGTACTTAACTCAAAATGAAATTCCATAATGGGTCTCGACCGGAGCGCGGTACCCCACACGAGTAGTTACCTGTTCGTTCCGCAGCGAGGACGCGGCGGTGGAGGGGATGCTGAGCATAAGCGAGCGGTTCGAGGCACCCGTGGCGACGTTCGGCGTGGCGACGGCCGCCGCCGAGCGCGCGCGCGACAAGCGCCGCAAGCCGCCGCCAGACGACCTCGCCGACGAGGAGGACGTCATCAAGGAGGTGCACCGGGACGACGAGTATGGTGAGCCTTCTGCATTACTGCTTATACTGCTTGCGACCGAATTGGTAGAATGCGGTCAGCGGTTTCGACAAGACATTCGCAATGCCATTCTATAGTAAATTATCTTGATTTGGCCATTGTAGACAATGGCAATGCAGTGTATTTAAAGAAAGCTATCATTGTATGGTAGGCCGTAAAATCGTTTCCATCGTTATATACACTGTTCCAAAAAATTAAAGGAACAAAATATGTCTAATTTATTCTAATGTTACTAAGTAAAGTGATGTAATGTTACTAATGTTACTAAGTAGAGTAAAGTGATGGATTGCGGATCGTGTGTGTGGTGTGTGGACGTGTTTGTTTTTGCTCCGTTAAAATTAATTATAAAAGTGCTTATTTTTCGACGAAATGTTAAAACAACTACGCAGTGTTTAACTTAAGCAACTGTACCTCCTTATTGATAAATACATATGGACAAAGCTTTTGAAAGCAGTGATTAACATTAAAACAATTTTACAGAAACTGGTTTTTAGTGGTAGCGAATGTGTTTGAACTTTGAAACTTTATCTCATTTTACCCGCATATTATTTAAATTAAATATACACAATAATCCACATAAACTGTGTTGAGTTGTCTTCAGTACAAGTAATTGAACCTGTTTCTACAGGGCACTGGTGAATGAGCGGTAGTGAGCTCGACCCACAGAGCCTAGTACTCGAGATCGAACCCCGTGATTGCTCACAAAGTTTTTGTTTTCGTTTCTTCACAGTTTGTAATAAGTCAGCTTGAGGGCTGCTTAGTACAACATAATATCTATTAACACTTTTTTGTTTTTATCTTTTTCCATTATAATTCACCTTTAAAAATGCCAAAATGTACCAATTGCGGTAAATTTTTGGTAGCAGTGGATTCCGTGAAATGTATAAAATGCCCAGGTGTATTTCATCGAGCTTGCGCTAACCTGTCATCAGCCGCATCCCCTACTTCTTGGCAATGCACAGTGTGTAAAGGAAAACAATCCCGATTGGAAGTCATTCATCCACCAGATAGGACAGATACAGATTTAAGTGCAAAGAATACACAGGAAGCCGTGATAAATGAAATAAGGGGCCTTCGTAGCGACTTCTACGCTCTTAGAACGGAACTTCGGGAATTTCGGGAAGAGATGTTATCGTTAAAGGAGTCTCTTAAAGCCTGCGGGGATAGGGTCGATACACTAGAGGAACGTATTAACCTGGCTGAGGAAAAGTTGGAACTGGTGGAGTCTTCTCGCGTGACTGAATTGGAGTCGACAATCGATGTATTAAAACAACAACTTAACGAATGTGAGCAAGAACCACTGTTGAATGACGTACAGATTTCCGGGGTCACGGAGACAAGTGGTGAAAACACAGTCCAACTGTTTAATTTGATTGCAGCGAAACTAGGAGTGAAAATTGACGACCGTGATTTGGTCTATGTAAAACGGGTGGGCCACGTATTGCGGAACCGACCTCAGGGAGAGGGCGCGTCTCGCCCTCGTATTATAGCTATCCGGCTGGCAAGACGTGTTACACGTGACCATTTCCTTAGTGCTGCACGAGTCCGCCGTAATCTTACAACGAAAGACATAGAATTACAAGGTGCACCCTGTCGCATTTATATAAACGAGCGCCTGACAAAGAGAAATAGGCAATTATTTTACAAAGTGCGAGAGGCTGCCCGGCGCTTGGAATGGAAATATGTATGGACGAGAGATGGACGTATACTTACCCGTAAAGGGGACGGCCAGCCGACCCAGCATTTTCGAAACGATGCTGATTTTAATCGTGTTTTTGGTAGTGACTAAGTTAGTCTTAAATATTGTTATTATTAAGCCATGCTTCATTTGTTCTACTTTTTTATTTTTATTCTTATTTTGCTTTAAGATTTTGTTATGGTTTATAGCCAATTCAAATAATTTCTCGTGTGCCTTTTTATATCTATACCCTTTGCTAGGCAAGTTTCAATGTAACTTAGTATTAGCTTCCAATGGTTCTGCAGCTCACGAAAATAGATTTACTTTTAACCTGTATAATTATGCAGCCCAATGTGACTCGGAAATGTTTATTGCATCGATACCAGCGTACAAGTATTTGACTTCCATACTCAAACACAATCGACACGTATATCTATTTTATTTATCGCATAATGTTATCGCTTGTTTTTACATGTTATATTTGTTAATATATGTACTCCATAAATATTATATAGTTGTAAAGGGATGTAGCAATGATTAAGTAATGACAAGGAATTATCTAAGAGTTGGCTTATTGAATAAGGGTTCTTTGGGAACTAAGCATGATGAGTTCGTGGCAGCGATGTTGGATCGAGATATCGATGTCATGGCCATAAACGAAACTTGGTTACATTCGGGCCAAGAAGAGCGTGCGCCCTCGGTGCCGGGGTACTTACTGCGACATATCCCTCGCCCGCAGTCAGTTAAAAATGGCAGAGGGGGTGGTGTGGGGTTTTATGTTAAACGTGAAATAAATCCCCGAAACCACAAGCACCCCGTCGACATGGCTTATAGCTCAATCGAACAAATTTGGATCACCTTCAACGCGAGAGGAACAAAACTGGTGGTGGGAACCGTTTACCGCCCGCCGTGGCTGAACCTCGATTTGGTTTTGGATGCTGTATCCTGCACACTGAGCTCCTTGATAAAGTACGACGGTATAATTCTATTGGGCGACTTGAATGTGGATATGATGAACGATACTGACTCAAATACCAAAAAACTTAAAACATTTAAAACTGTTTCAACTTTAGACAGGTGGTATGTTCTCCCACACACTCCACACCGCACGGTGATAAGCTTATTGATGTTGTATGCGTAAAAGATATCAACGTCCACACAGTGCGGGTGGAGTCTATACCTGAGCTGGGTGCGCACGCATTTATTTCCTGTGAAATTAATATTAAAAGAAATAAAACTTTACCCCAGACAATAACTTTCCGCCCTTTAAAAAACATATCAAAAGAGTTGTTGAAACAAGAATTGGAGATGGTTGACTGGCGTAAAATCATGGCAATGCAAGATGTAAATGACATGGTTAACCATTTTAGTATGCGCTTAACCATGACTATGGATAACCTGGCCCCTAGAAAAACTTGTATAATTCGAGAGCGTTCATATCCATGGATAACTGATAATATAAAGCTGATGATGCGACTGAGGAATAAAGCTTATGCGGAGTACCGACAAACTAAACTTGAAAGTAAACTAACATATTACAAAGAGCTGAAAGGTCTGGTCAACAGATCATTATTTTACGAGAAAGCAGCGTTTTTTAAATATAACATTAATAATAGAATAAACGATAGCAGAGCGCTGTGGAAAAACTTGAAATCCACATTAAATCCTCCTAAAAATGAATATGGACTACCTGCACATTTTAACAACCCAGACATATTGGCGCAACACTTTTTAAATGTACCGGGTGAGGGAGTAGTTACTATTAGTGAACTCACTTATTATGAATTTGGACAATTTAGTAGTTCAAAGTTTTGCCTGAGCCCTGCAACTTGCAATCAAGTAATGAAAATTTTAAGTTCTATAAAAACTAAAGCTGAGGGATATGACGGTGTTAGTATCGATATGGTCCTATTGACGCTACCTGAAACTCTAGATGTAGTTACCGCTATTGTGAACTTATCCATTGAGACTGCCACCTACCCTGACTTATGGAAGATTTCGAAAATATGTCCATTGCCGAAGAAACCTAATGTTAATGAGCTTAAAGATCTGAGACCTATAAGCGTCTTGCCTGTATTGTCAAAGGTTCTGGAAAGAGTGGTATGCACGCAACTTTCAACCTTTTTGGAGCGTAACAATATCTTGCCAGATGTGCAGTCAGGATTTAGAAAGGCTCGTAGTACTACCACGGCGCTGTTGGACGTGACCGACAACATACTATCAGCTCAAGATACCGGAATGTGTACTATTTTGGTGTTGCTCGATTTTTCTCGCGCCTTCGATTGTATAAACATTCCGCTTCTACTTTCAAAGATGGCTTACTATGGGTTCGATGTCCACACGATAAAATGGTTTGACAGTTATCTGAGCGGGCGCACTCAGTATGTTCATATAGGAAGGGAGGATGGATCTATTATCACATCCAGCCATTATTCTACTAGTAGAGGAGTGCCACAGGGCTCTATTTTGGGGCCTTTACTATTTATCCTATACTGCGCTGACTTACCTGGCATCATTAAACACTGTAAGTATCACGTCTATGCCGATGATATACAGGTCTACATGTCTTTTAGGCTTCGGGATTATGAATCAGCTGCAAAATGTCTTAACGACGATCTCGAAAGCATAGTACAGTGGTCCGGACGCAATTCACTTCTCCTGAATCCATCTAAAACCAAGTACATGCTCTTTGGTACAAAATCCATGATCACATCTCTACAGAACAACATAGTCCCCATTACAATCATGGGGGAACCTATCGAGCGTGTTTATGAAGCACGCAACTTAGGACTTGTGGTGGATTCAGAGCTACGTTACGAGAAGCATGTGGCAGAGGCGATTCGAAATTGTTTTTACCGGCTTAAGGTGTTGTACAAGGCACGTCCATACTTAACGGAAGAGCTGCGCATATTACTTGTCGAGTCTTTGGTTTTATCGAAACTGAATTACGCTGATGCAGTATACGGCGAGAGACTACTATCGAAAACAGAGCGAATGATACAGAGACTCCAAAACGCGTGTGCTCGATTCTGTTTCGACGTGCCTTCGCGGAGCCACATAACACCATTTTTGAATGATCGCAACATTTTAAAAATGAAGGCAAGACGCAAGCTTCATTTAGCAAGTCTGTTGTTCGGAATTATAAAAACAGAAACTCCATCTTACCTTTACAACAGACTGGCCTGGCCAAACCGGCATTCGAATGGGACAGGACGACTGTGTTCTCAGCATCTGTCTATCCCACGACACAGAACAGCAGCGTTCAGAGGTAGTTTCCGGTATGCAGCGACTAAATGTTGGAACAATATTCCTCCGCCAATAAGAAATTGTAAAAGCGGTACGACATTCAGGTTAAAATTAAAAAGTTATTTGCTTTCGCATCAAAAAGAATTTGAGAGTATCCAAATTCCAACAACTGCCATTTAATAATATTACTATTAAATTTCCGACAGTCGCATTGTTTTGTTTTGTTTTGTTTTGATGGCATTTTTTCAATTTTACCTACTTTTTAGTGTAGTTTTTTCTCCCTCCCTTACTTTATGATATCAATGCGTCGCACCAACATATACATATATATATATACACGCACACAATCACACACTTGAATGGCTTCCTGCAGACAACACCCAGTCTTATGGGCTGCAGCTGAAAACCAGCGTTGGAAGGCACCTGTGGCCATCCAACAGTATGCTGAGCTGCAGACCTATTGGCACTTTTTGTAAGGAATTTTGCATGTGCCAATAAATTTTCTTTCTTTCTTTCTTTCTTTCTTAAAAATAATCATAATCATATCGCGAATTTAAAAAAAAAAGCTCCAATATTCTAGTGTTTTGATCTTTAAGCAAAAAAAAATAGTAGTCACTCTTTTAACAGAATTATACAAAATAATGTTCTACAGACTTGATTTTTTTCCAGTTAAACGATTTTATAGGACATAAGGTTTTAAACGATTATATATTTATATATCATCGTATATATCGTCCGTGTGGTGACGGATTAAGAATATAGTGTCACCTACTATTTATTCATCGCGTGGGTGTCGTAAGAGCCGACTAAGGTAGAAAATTACGCAAAACAACAGCACTGCAGAGAGAAGGAAAACTTGACACAAACCCTATACCAACTCGCCTGGCCAGCGTGGTATAGTAAGCCAAAACCTCCTTTCTAAGTAGAGGCCTATTGAGTTCGAAAAAAAAACTTGCTATTTTTTTAAATATAATAATTATACTAAAATCGTATTACAGTATATCCGTCGTTAGAAATGAGTTCGGACGAAGACGAAGAGTGGACGGCGTCAAAACGGCGGAGAAACGCGAGAAACAGGGTAGATTCAAAGTCAAAGGGTGAAAAGTAAGTTCTACTCTGGTTTAATTAAATATATAATAAATATATTGGTTTAGCTTATGTAACACTTAGTTTGTTCATAAAATTATTTGTACAGTTTGCGGAAAAGCGACAGGAAATGTACTACATTTCAAAAGTATATTGTATGCTTTTGTAAATATATTATATAAAGTTTCTTTATTAGTTTTCGTGTTTTTCCTTTAAGCTGCGTGTATCGTTTTTAAGTGACTCGCAGTTGAGATACTCACTAATTAAGTATATTATTTTGTATCGGAGAAAGCAGTCAACACTAAAATGAAAATTAGTGCGTATTAAACGTTTACTTTTTACGCTCATGTAATAGGGGACTACGAGCGATGGGTTCTCGGGTGGATGAACGAATCGGGAGTGTATGGAAAGTATATTAGATAAGGCGGTAACGATAGGTGGAGCCGATAAGTATTGCGTTATCATCTCAGGGACGAGTCGTGGTCTCCGCGCGCGCGGCTGGGCCGGCTGGTGCCGCGCCTGCGCACGGCGCGCGCGGGCGTGCGGCGCGAGTGCGTGCGCGCCGCGCTGCACGCCGCCGCCGCGCGCCCGCCCCACGCGCACCGCGACAGGGACCAGCCGCACCATCAGGTAACGCACCCCTCTCCCCTCTCCTCTCCGCGCGCGCGGCTGGGCCGGCTGGTGCCGCGCCTGCGCACGGCGCGCGCGGGCGTGCGGCGCGAGTGCGTGCGCGCCGCGCTGCACGCCGCCGCCGCGCGCCCGCCCCACGCGCACCGCGACAGGGACCAGCCGCACCATCAGGTAACGCACCCCTCTCCCCTCTCCTCTCCGCGCGCGCGGCTGGGCCGGCTGGTGCCGCGCCTGCGCACGGCGCGCGCGGGCGTGCGGCGCGAGTGCGTGCGCGCCGCGCTGCACGCCGCCGCCGCGCGCCCGCCCCACGCGCACCGCGACAGGGACCAGCCGCACCATCAGGTAACGCACCCCTCTCCCCTCTCCTCTCCGCGCGCGCGGCTGGGCCGGCTGGTGCCGCGCCTGCGCACGGCGCGCGCGGGCGTGCGGCGCGAGTGCGTGCGCGCCGCGCTGCACGCCGCCGCCGCGCGCCCGCCCCACGCGCACCGCGACAGGGACCAGCCGCACCATCAGGTAACGCACCCCTCTCCCCTCTCCTCTCCGCGCGCGCGGCTGGGCCGGCTGGTGCCGCGCCTGCGCACGGCGCGCGCGGGCGTGCGGCGCGAGTGCGTGCGCGCCGCGCTGCACGCCGCCGCCGCGCGCCCGCCCCACGCGCACCGCGACAGGGACCAGCCGCACCATCAGGTAACGCACCCCTCTCCCCTCTCCTCTCCGCGCGCGCGGCTGGGCCGGCTGGTGCCGCGCCTGCGCACGGCGCGCGCGGGCGTGCGGCGCGAGTGCGTGCGCGCCGCGCTGCACGCCGCCGCCGCGCGCCCGCCCCACGCGCACCGCGACAGGGACCAGCCGCACCATCAGGTAACGCACCCCTCTCCCCTCTCCTCTCCGCGCGCGCGGCTGGGCCGGCTGGTGCCGCGCCTGCGCACGGCGCGCGCGGGCGTGCGGCGCGAGTGCGTGCGCGCCGCGCTGCACGCCGCCGCCGCGCGCCCGCCCCACGCGCACCGCGACAGGGACCAGCCGCACCATCAGGTAACGCACCCCTCTCCCCTCTCCTCTCGGTGACTCAGTGTGGACAGGGTTACTTCCATCTGTTAACGACTATGGAGCCAAACAAACGTATTTTATTGCTTCTATTATTATCACTACTAATCGTATGAAAGAAAAATGATAAATAATTGTAGCGAACGCTTATTCACGTTCGACAAACTAACATCATACTACGTTGACGGCTCGTCGATGCGATTATTTGTATTTAAGACGACGTAACGACACCGCTTCGACGCCGTACCACACCATCGACGCATCGTGAGGTTTCGCTCTTATGAAAGTATATTACATCGGTATATTTCAATTCATAAATAAAATCCTTCAATTATGATATGTCGTCCATATGTTTTTACATAAAAACAGTGCCAAATTTATCTCTTACTAGAAATAATTATTTAAAAAAATGTTTAATACGAAATCAATACAATATTCAATTACCAACTCAAAAATTATTAAGACATAAATTGTTACATACAATCTAATAAAAAAACTCAAATTGCGTAATTAATACCACAGATCCACGTACGTGTATGTATTTCCAAGACACGTATACGTATTCATACTCACATCCGTGTCCACACACCATCACGCACGCATGCAAATTAATATTGTTACAATCATCAAAGACCACAACTCACATAAACTAAATATTCTTTAAATTTCCAGCAAAATGCAAAACGCGCTGTATTAGCGACAAAAAGCAGGCGGCCCCCGCCACCTGTTCACACCACGCCAAATAATAAAAGTAAGTATTCATATTCTGAAACTAAAATACCACCAATACCAACGCCAAACTCGCCGTCGAGAGTTAGCTGATGTGAAATAAACTTGCACTCAGCACTCAGGAAAAGAACCAAGGTCACCGACATTACCCCGAGGATTACTCTTAAGGGGCAGTGGACGTTAGTGGGTGCATTGCTCGCAGAAACGATGGCCGATGGAGCCACAAAGTTCCCTAGTCACGACCGCGTACTAGAAAACGCAACGTGGGTAGATCCTCACAGCGTGGTCCGACCACCTGGTGAAGACCGCGGCAAGTCGTTTGAGAGGACAGCACAGGACCGGTTGTTGTTGCGAACTTGGGGGAGGCCTATGTCCAGCAGTGGACGTCTTTTGCCTGAAATGTTGATGATGATGATGATAATGATATCAAGCATATTAACAATAAGAAAATACTTGGTTTGTCACCTTTAGACACTTTTTTGAAACTGAAAAATAACCTCAATACCTATTGTTTTTAATATTTTCTCCTCTCAATAAAACAATTTATTTCCGTTGGTTACTTTGTCATTTTCTCATCGTAGTTCAAACGGTATTTGAAACAACATTATTATTTTCAGATGCAAGACTGAAGAAAGGTATGAAGACGGCAAAACAGCGTCTCGGTAAAATTCTAAAGATACACAAAATGATATATTAAACTTTAGTTTAGTAGGTGATGTTTGACAGACGGACGTATGTGTAGATGTATATTTTATAAATGTATTGTATATTAGCACGGACCAATGGGTGTTGTCGTTTGACCGGGTTTTTTCTATGTGATTAGTTCACTGACGTCGACAATTAATGTTCTATCTATAACTTTTTAAATTTTTCTAATTATATTTTTAGAGTAGTAAATTAAGACCTGTTATCGAGATACAAAGTACAGGTAGATAGAATAATAATATTCGACATAAACTTTATCTTTTAACCGCCAGCGCGAACACAACGGAGGGTTATGTGTTTAGAATATCTAATTATATATTTGGGTGGAAATTGACGCGGTTTAGAACGACCTTTCTATATATGTCATATCCAAAAAGTGCAATGTTAATAAATAAATATAAAACTGGTTTGATAAAGAATACTTGTGATTTAAGTAAGCATTTCCACCTAATATATAAAGATTTAATCTTTAAATTATCATCCCAGTGATATGCCCTACAAGTACTGCCTATGTAAACGTGTATTGATAAAAGTACATTCATATAAAAACTCAGAACTTATTAAGTGCACATTTAAGTAGATCGCAATGGGCTCAATAGAGTTTTTTTTAGTGCATTCGTTCCATTAACGTCGATTTATTTATTTATTTACACATCATGCACATTTGGTGCATTGGCGGACTTAATGTCTAGGCATTCTCTACCAGTCCACCATTGGATGATGCATAGAAAACAGGAAGTACATTTTACAGTTAAGGGACAAGAAAACAATTTACAAAAATGTGTGTTATGACCTTTTAAAGTGGTTGTGGTATATACAAATGGGCGGGCTCGACGTGTGTTATTCAATTTTTAAATTGCATTTCATCGAGTCTGTGAGTTAGTTAGTGGAGGCCCAAATCCAAACCCCTTATTCTGGAAGGAGGGAGAGGGAGCTCTTAAAAGTCAAGAACGCACTAGTGACTCTTGGGGTTGTAGGTGTCTATAGGTCACTGTAGGATAGAATAATCTTTATTGTACACCAGTTCAGTACATTATACATACAATAGTATTCCAAGCAAATGGCGGCCTTATCGCTAAAAAGCAATCTCTTACAGGCACCTTTGGATGGACAAATAGACTGTAAATAGGTAATTTCATGGTCAGTTTTGTAAAGGAATCAAAAGTAGTTACTTAACATAGTGAGAATCACCTGCTTGTTTGCTGCCTATACCGAAAAAATACATTTACACACAGTAAGTACTAATAGCAAACGGAACTCATTTAAAAGTATCAAAATACTCTAAAAGTTATGCCCCACATGCTTCATTTAGAAATAATGTTCAGGTATTTATATGAAAACATTTTTATCAATCCATGCACTTTCGTACGTGTGCACACAGGTTAAAATGTGATTTTATATTTAATTGCAATAGAAATAGAGCATATTTTTCAATTGCTAAGGTATTTGGTGTTGACGACGTAATGTTTTTGGAACTATTAGTCCATGGGAAAATCCTTAGACATTCATCAAAAGTTCTGGCATAGGCAATTAAAGTTGCAACATAGTTCACAGTGATGTTGGCTACTAGGTGGTAGACTTGGAAATTATTGCTACTTTTAAATGACATTGATCTGATGAAATGATTGGGTTTAGTCACTGTGATTTCACCTGTGATGAATCACTGCTTAGATTTGGTCATAGACAAAAATTAATGTCATCAAAATTAATTAAATAAACCTTTTTTTTTAGATTTTGACCTTTCGCGTGTCGCATAATTAGCCGCAGTGATATTGTAGATGAGTCACAGGTGTGATGAAATGATTTAAAAATCATATAATTTTATGCAATGCATAGGCAGTACACCTTTACATATACAATAACTTGCCTTGTCTGACTGACTCATCGACGCGCAGAGAATTTTGAATTTAATTTAAGAAAGAAAAAAGGAATAAACGGTTGTTAGGAAGTTTGTCATTTTCAAGTTAGAAACACGAAATAAAAAATAATAACGCGAAATAAGCTGCGGGCAATAGCTAGTTATGCAAAATTTTCATCCTCATTACCTGGATATTTTGCGCTCCACTACTGTGCGCTTCAATCTGTGGAACGGATATCGTCAGCGGTATTTCCGGACCGATACGACCTTCAAACCTTCAAGAAAAGAGCGTACTCCTTACTAAAAGGCCGACAATCCGTTTGTGACTCCTGAGTTGAAGACATTCATGGGCGGCGATAGTCACTTTCCATCAGGTGACCCGTCTGCTCGTCTGCCCCATCTAACATAAAAAAAAACTAATTATTTACCCATGGACTTTAAATGTTGACCATGGATTTTCCCCTGGACTGATATCGTTATTTGGTTAAAGATCTGATTTTTTATTATTTTCCTTATAGATTGATATTTAAAATAAGCTATGTCGTTGTTCGTAAGATTTTATTGACGTGAATTTTATTTTTCAAAATTAACCTAATTTCGCTATACGATTGTGAAATACTCGACATTTTGTTTATGTTATATAAAGTGACGTAAAAAATTTGAAATAAAAAGAATTAAAAAAAGACATACTTTTTCACGAAAATATAAATTATAAAAACCAACCACCGAATAATATGTAAATAAGAAAATTGAAAAAAATATAAGAAAAAAAAAGTTTTTTCCGCTTTAGCTATTTATGAACTTTTTTTTATGTTATAGTGATAGTAGACATAAGGATGTGTTTAAAAGTTATATTCGTTGTAATTGAAATACGGATGCAAAACTACTAAAAGTGCAATAGAGTTATATCAAAATTAAAAAATCTTTGAACAACAAATAAATGAAGTCGAAATACGCCTTTGATAAAATACACTAAAGTATGTATTTAATAAAAATATAAATTTATAAAACTTCATGTAATGTAATAAACATAATAAGAATATAGTTTTTAGTAAAATATTAAATATTAACTCATAACGTAATCTTAAAATTGTATGTAAATTATTTATTTTTCTAAAATAAATCTTAATATGATTTTATTGCACCTACATGATTTTGCATCTGTGTTCAGCTTGTTCTCATTTGCAAAACAAACAGGGTGTGTTTTTTCATAAATTGTTTTAAAAACAGTACAGTCCTCATTTATTTAGTTGCAATGTCCATGTATTGATACGATCCATTATATTTACAAACAATTTTTTCTACTGTCATAAAGTAGCAAAGATTCTTAGAGAAAGCTAATTATTTTTAAGATAGTTTTCTTAACTAAAATTTATTCTAAATGAGTTTGACTAATAAGAATGTAGGCAATATTTTAAACATTGACTGGCAATTATCAGGCTATGATATCAAAATGTTAATTTAACCAGTCAATGTTTAAAATACAATATGGGCAATTTGTAAAATAACCCTCTGAGGGCCTCTTGCATGGAATTTTAGTGATAAATAACTTCGAGTTTACTGACTCATGGTTGATATAAAATATTTTATCTTTTTAATTTTGTATTCTTTAGTTTGTTTGTGTTAAAAATAAAGTAAGGCATTCTATTTACAATTTAAATATAAAGGAATGATGTTGTAAGTATTGCCTCTCTCACTTGTCATTTATATTGGTCGTTTCCCTAACTGTGCAAGGAAGAAATATTAAACCCGCGTTACCAGTCAACTCGGAGTTATATAAATTAAAGCTAGTACGCCCAAGCGGCCCTAAGTAGTGTGTCCAAAGTTTTGTCTTATGTCATATCATCATCAGTATTTAAAGGGTTCAAGTATATTGTGTTTATATCATTCAGTCATGTTTTAAGGCATCTCGTCCACTATGTACAGACGTACTTAAACAACAATGTAATAATAACACTATAAAAAATTGTATTCTTACTGGTTTATTAGTGCTTTAATCGGTCACCGTGGCCGCTTTCAACTACGCTGAGTGTTGTGGGTTCGATCTCCACATGTGACAACACTTTGTGTGATCCACAAATTGTTGTTCTAAGCCTGGGTGTTCTTTGTGTCCGTTTCATGTATGTGTGTTATTTCTCCACGACACAGGATGTATCCCCAGTGCGGGAGTTGTCTATATTAAAAAGAAAAAAATCGAGACACTAACTTTTAAACTATCGGGTTCCATATACATTTACGGGAATTAACGTGTTCACGATAGGTATTAAGTTAGAAATGCTTGACGTAGCCGTCGTGGTGACTCGTTATGTACTTAATACTTATGTTGAGCGAGTTAATTCCCGTATACATAATTATCTTAACCGTTGGATGCTGGCAGCACAAGACCGGTTGTTGTGGCAAAAGTTGGGGGAGGCATATGTCCAACAGTGGACGTCTTTCGGCTGAGAAGAAGAACAAGAAGAAGACACTTCAAAAATGGGTGTATTTACCCTATTACTTATCACCGGTTTTCTGTGAGGCCGTGGTTTCACTTCGGTTAAGCCTGCCGATTTCAAACAACGTTCGCCACGAGTGCCACATAGCAGTTTATAACATTAAACCGATTTAATTGTTGTGTGTTGATAAATTGAACTGTGGCAATGTTCACTAATTTAATATTACTTAACAAAAAATCTTAAGTCGTAAGTATTTTAAGCATAGTTTGCTTTAAACGTTGAATACTGCGTATTACCTTATCTTAAATTTTTTGTTATTTATTATTTTACATGTGGTTAGATAGAACAGTTTTAATAGCGTTAATTAAATTCATTTTTGAGTTTGAATGATAATATTTTAGTCCATTTGGAGAATCTCATAATAAAGCCTAAACACCGATTAGGTCCTGAGATAGTGGACGAGATCACTTACTAAGCGACAAAAGCACGTAAAAGAAGTTATATCTACTAACGCAGAAAAATATGAAAGACTCAAATTACGCATTTTTGGCGCTTCGTAAAGATTGCCTTTTAACCGTCGATATATATTATATATAATTTGTTTATTAAGCCATTGATGTTAACTTATTAAGGATGTTTTCAGTAGTAGCACTCTAGATTTAACTCAAACGCCTTCACGCCTATTTTAGTGGTAAATGTATATTGAAAAATGTATAGGAAACATGGATTTTCTACAACAATTAACTAAATTAGTTGTTTTAGTAGGTTAAGTGTGATGGTTTATTTAAAGCGAGTGAATGATGTCTATTTTTTGTACAAAGTGGATGCTGTTTGTTTTTATTTGAGTATAACTGTGATCCTTTATCGGTTGCATTTACATTTATTGAAAAAATCTCACTTTCTCAACCCCTTTAACCCTTTCTAATCTGTAAGATTAGAAAAAGTACACTGACACGTTCCAACACAGTTTTTTTAACTCACATGATGTCAAATATGACATTATCCCAATTTGTAATTTTGTTCATTTGCCTCAAGAATGATACTCTGTGCAAAATTATATCATATCGTTCCATCATAATTTTCCTCTTGTCGGTTTTCTTGTATTTGCAACCAATTTGCTTCATAATTGTTATTAAAGATGTTGCACTGCCACTAAACAGGCCAGCCTCTCTCAGTGATACCACCAACTTACTTACAGTTGGGTACTCACTTCTCGTGTAATAAGCATATACGTGGTTTTGAATAGCATCTGCGTCAAATGTGTCAATACCTGTTACAGGCTTGCTTTTCTTCCTCTTCTTAGGCGTATGTAACACATTTTCTTCAGTACCGGAAGACCCATACTTTTCCTTCAAAATGGTTCGAATAGTTTTTTTGCCGATTCCAAGTGCTTCTGCTACGCGATCTTGCACTTGAGTTACGGGTAATATTGGTCCACCATTAACTGATTCGCGTTCGAAGTATTCGGTTAACTTCACAACCAATTCGCGTGATTGGCTGTTGATTGTACGTCCTCTTTTCGACATGTTGAAACAGAGTTTGTACAATATAACAACAAACACCAAAATCGAGTCCAAATCGCTATGTCTAATCAATGTCCGGAATAGAAAAGCCAAGGTCAACGTGATAGTAAACAAAAACAGTCCAAAAGCAAAGCCGAGTCTAGAAAAAATATCAAACATAAACTAGCGCACTCAACTTCATAAGATGTCGAACGAAAGACTGCGCAGTACGCGGTACGCGCATGGATCACGTGCCGCTTGGTCATAGACAAACCATTCTATAGGTACATAGAGAAAGGAAACAAATTATGTACGGTTTTGATAATTCTTTTATAGACTGACTTTTAAGGACTGTTTTCAAATGTGACTGTTGCAAAATGAGACATGACGTTGAGACAGAAAAATGAGGTGAATTATTTTTTCTATGATGAAATGATTTGAACCAAATCATTTAGTATAATATCAAAATATTCATATTAAATATCAAAATAAATCTAAAACTATATGTGATCAGATTTTGCTTTTATATGTTTAAATAATACACTAATTACACATTTATCTCTTTTTTTTAATGTAATTTTTGTAAACGGTTTTTAGAAACTCTATTTTATTCGGACATAAAACGGCTTTTTAACGGTTACAACACTACGGCAACCAACCCAAAGACATGACATTATAGTAAAGTCCTGTCGGAATATTAATAAACGATTAATTCGTGTTTTTGAGTGCATTTTTTCAATATAAAGTTAAACTTGATGCTTATTTATGATACCCGTTGTGATAGTGTATGGGTAACATAGTAATTAAATAGGATTATGAATTTGATTTTTCAATTTCTTACATAGACGTTCAGACAAAGTTATCGCGGCATGTCACATGAGAAACGTCAAAACGGGCTTCTTATTTTGTGACGACTTTAAATTGTAAATTTTCCGTTCATAATTTTCAGTGGATTTTTTTCAATGAACGTCTGCTCCAGTCGGAGCTGTGGTTAGAACTGAGCTTTATTATCATTCTACAATATTATATACATAATTGGACCAATGAACTTAATGTTAGTGTTACCTGTAAGTCATTAAGGAAGTAGCCTGTGGTTTATGTTATTGTATTCATAAAGCAAACAGACAACTTAATGTTAGTGTTTCTTGTAAGCGATCTAGGAAATAACCTGTGAGTTATCTTAATTGTCTACTTGCAATGGGGCTATTGTCTAATGGGCTTGATTACAAGGACATAACTCGATACGTTAGACTTCCTGTTTGCATGCATACACGCTAAACGTGTGCGCATGCTATGTGTAAGTATGTGTTATGTGAAAATTAGACCAATCAATATTTTTACAATAATTTGTTCTTCATGTTTATCTGGCATGTGTAGCATGTCTGGCAAAAATTGTATGTTGACAAATTCAGACTGTATTTTATGAGATGGTAACGAGTAGTATATGGCAATACACTAGTTAACTATGATTACATTCTACGTCTGTTAACTTGACACATAAATATTTCCTCAGTATGGAGTTTCTATACATATCTACCCCATAGGGTCAATTTTTTTTTAATTGCCACTTGCGATATTTTTGGACCAATATGACCTCAAAATTTCAATACCTAGAATAATTAGTTCAGAAACGATTATTCCCTGAGAACATGGGACTTTTTCAATAAATTGATCATTTTCATTTGAATCAACCTCTGAATGATTTAAATACGAGTTTCATGACATCACAGTCTGTTTACATTATATTTTCGATGTTCTAATCACAAAATGTTATAGAAAATCTATGTTACCAACGAATGAGCGATATATACATATAGTATAAAAGATATATTGTAAATTATGGATAACAGTGAATGTATATTGTTGTGGAAGAGAAAAGAGTTCTCTAGATATAAAACATCTATTTGTTTGTTTTATTTTTATTGTATACCTTATAAACACAATTTCACCTGACTATAATGATTTCCAATAAATGAGGAATTTTGAGGTCAAAAAGAAAAAACGATACGAGTTAAAAGATGTAGTGACAAGAATTGAGGAAGAGATGTTGCGCTAGGTAGGACACGTTATATATGGGTCGGGACAGTGAACATTGTCGAAGGGAGGTCACATGCGGGGTTCCCCACGGGTCAGCCTGAGGACCACTTCTGTGCCGTCCTGAGGACCAGCCTTCCCCCAGGATTGAGTGTCGTCTGCTATGCGGACGACACTCTGGTACTATCTGGGGGGCATGGCTTCCGGGAGGTCCTAGAGCTCGCGTAGTCAGGGGTGGCTTATGTCGTCCAAAAGATCAGCGGTCTGGGTTTTATGGTTTCACCTTATAAGACGGAAGCCCTGTGGTTCCATAGGAAACGTAGAGGTGCAGTTCCCACCCGCTCGATTATTAGAGTGGGGGGAACAGAAGACGAGGTCGGTCGGCACATCAAATACCTCGGCCTCACCCTGGACAGCCGTTGGAGCTTCGAGGAGCATACCTGAATCGGATTGGACGCGGGGAGACGGCACAATGCCAGCACTGCGCGGCCGACTGGGACAGCACACGCTGGAAGACTGCCCCGCGTGGGCCTCTGTGCGCGAAGTTCTGGTCGATGAAATCGGACGAGACTTGTCCCCGCCAGCAATCATTACTGCCATGCTGCCGGGTGGCAGATTAATTGCTGCACAGCTGATCGCACTGAAAATGTGATCGGGCTGCAACATCTGGATAGGCTCATACGCAGGGAGAAGCCACTGGCTTTCCCTGAGATGGGGCTTAGTTAGGTGCGGCGTCGATCTGGGGGGACTTGAAATCACATGGCCCGGGTTCTCCCCAGAGCAGGGCGCCTAAGGCTGGCCGTCGGAGTGGTTTTTAGTGGAAACACTACATACTTCTGGCTCCTATATAAAACAAAGGTAGGACACGTTGCAATAATGAGCGAAGAGTGCTTGAATATTTTTTTTCATAAAACGTGCAAGTGCACGTGCAGCAAGTGGGTGAGTCGGTGCGGCTATACCTCGAAAAGCCCTAATAGAGCACCCGTACCCGAGTGTAGGAAAGGCCTGTGAATGTGGAACAGGTGCGAGTCGTGCATTAGGATATGGCAAATGGTTCTAACGTGTCTGCCTACCTTGGGCGGGAATGAAGTGTATGTGGTCACATCTGCAACCAGCTTTGGTCAATCGGTCGTCCCCACTGCTCCTGCACGACAACGCGCGACCCGATACTGCGCAACAGACAGTCTCCAAGCTGCAAGAGCTGGGGTTGGAAGCTCTCCCTCATCCGCCATACTCACCAGACCTTGCACCTATCGACTATTACTTTTTCCAAAATTTAGACAACTTTTTAGTGGGTAAAAAATTCAATTCCCGAGAGGCAGTACAAAATGCCTTTGAAGAGTTTGTTGCCTCCCGTCCAGCTGATTTTTACAAGAAGGTCATCAATAAACTGCCAATGCGTTGGCAAAGATGCGTCGATTGCATGGATGATTACTTCGAATAACAGAAATAAAAAAGTTTGAAAAAAATAAGTACTTTCACTTATTGCATACAAAACGGCAATTTCATAGGTAAAGACCTAATATAAATAAAAATGGACGATACGATATCATGGAATACGACATGACTGGCAATAACAAGAAATGCGAACTATAAGAGGCCAATTCTAACGTCTGGTCAAGACAGAAAATATCCAGTAATATAAGTTATAAAAAAGAAGTGCCTTTGCCCTTACAATTTTTCATTGTCTGCTTTTGTCAAATATCTTAAAACTTTGCAGTAATTAGATTTCTTGCAATTTTTGAAGACAGAAGACGTGTATTCTTGCGATATAAAGGTTATTGCACTATACACTAACAAACGTATGCAAATATTTATCGGAATCAAATTGCTTAGTGAGCTAAATATTGAATATCGCATACAGGAAGGAATTTTGTTTAGTGTTTAGAACTGTATCTATTAAATATCGGGTTTAATTTATTCCTCCTTAAGTGAAATGAATCATGAAAGTTATCAAAATAATAATAGCGTTGCTTAACCTCACTGGAAACGGTTCTCCTTTTAATTTCAGTGATAATAACCTATACGAAAGTTATAAGTTTCCGAGGTGTACAGATACAGAGAAAATTGGGAGTTTCCTTACTAAAACTGTAAATTTAATGGAAAGAAGTAAAAGTTTAAGCGATTTAAAAGACACTTATGACGTGAGTAAGTGTTTGGTGAACAGTTCCAGGGAATACATCAGGCACCATATTTTGGATGCCTTGATCGTGCGTGATGATCTTCCAGTGACGCACTGGCATGAATATAAGGTAAGTCACAGCGGGCGTACCGTTCGATTGTGCAACGTGTAGGCTTGCAAGTAAGACTCAGGTTTAAGAAAGAAACTACTGAGTAAGAATATGTGTAAATGATAGTTTTATAGAAAACAAATGATAATATTTTTCTCTTTTATGTGAGTGCTTATTTTTTTGAACATTTGACTGCTAATCTGTACTGAAAAATTTCGAAATGGACAACTTGTCAATTTGAGATGAAGATTTTTCATTAAATTAATAAACTTGTGTGCGTTACCCCAGCAAAATAATGTCGAAAATGGTCATTTAAACGTTATAGATAATTAGTTATTATATATATATATTAGTTGCCCCTTCTGTAATTGTTAGGTACATTTTTAAATTTGTTTCACTTAAATTTATTTAGTTATTTCAAAACAACATTTCCTGCTGGGGTAACGTTTGAAACGTTACCGCAGCCAGACATTTTCTTTTTTAATTGTAATATTGAAATAAATTTTAGCTAAATAATTAGTTATCTGGACTAGGTAAATGTTACAACTTATTTGGTATTTGTATTTTCTTCGGCTGCGAAGTTATTCGAGATCCTGTTGGAGTAACGTTTGTGGGTTTGCTGGATCTCTGAAACGGGTAAGCGGATTGTAACCATCTTTTGTACATAACTTCTTAAGGATTGGTTTTAATTTGTTTAACAATAAAATAATGGACCGTTTAAAAATTATTTAAGTAAGTATGAAAACTCTTCAATACGTCCTAACACTTTGAATAAGACCTCTAAAGACTTACTTTAATCGTTATTATATTGCTTGTAACTACCTTCAAATGTAAACGAATTTTCGTAAGTATACTGTAAGTGACTAAAAAGTTATGATGAAATGTAGCTCTCCACGTTCACGATCACAATGTGTGCGGCCTTTTTTGGCCGATAAACCTGTGTGTGGATATATGAACTGAATGTTATGCCAATAATTAGTAGTTGTTTAGTTTAGTTGTCTACCTGTAAAATTTCAGCGTCGTACATATAATAATTTACGAGATATTTAAATAAAAGTCATTAGAAGGTGCAAGACCGTGGTAACCCGATCATCTTTAGGTGGTTACAAAAAAGCGATCACCTAGTACATTGTGCTGGCTTTTATAATATGTAGGATATTATTTGCAAGTTCAGTACGGATATGTACATAGTGTTACAAAAAAGTACTTGTTTTTTAAATAATTTTTATTTGATTGTTTATTGCATAATTAGTAATTAGCCGGGAGATTAGGTAGGTATTGTTTTGAATGCTTTTGTTTTCTCGTAATGTTTTGTTGAATTGTTTATAGTTGTTCATAAAATTGGTACTTGTGTAGTATTTGTTATCGTACCGTTGTAAATACGTATTTTGTGAATAGATTGGGATTTTTTTAAGTGATGAATCGACTAAGGATAGCATATCGCGAACAAACTCTGTATTGCATTATTTCTATAATAATGTTGGAGAAAATAAAATAGTAGACAATATTTGATCACAAAATCGCGGTGAGTTAAATTATAATAAAATAAATTATTTATGTAAAATTAGTAATAAGTGATATACCTATCTACAAGTTATGATCGTTTTTAATTTTGTGGAGGAACGGGTGTCATGTCCCTCCAACACAAATGGAGGATCCTCCGACCAGGCGAGGTGATCATGCCTGGCGGGCCGCGGCCCAACGGTTGATGTTGGGAAGTTGTATATATGCTAATCGGCGAGGGAATTCTTTATATCGCGATACAGGGTTAGCAATTCTTATTTTAGTAGTTACTCCGTAGTTCGGTGTGTCTTCATTAGATGGCGTTGTAGTATGTTTCTGTTTTTTGTATGTGGGAGACGCTACAATTTGTTCACCTCGAACGAAATTTCAATATTAGCATTAGTAATTAATATCCTATGACAAGAATTGAAAATTACTTAAATTGAATCTAATTAGCATTAATGCCCATTATTAGTAATTAGGTACACACATTGAAGAACTCTCAAGAATACGATAAATATTTGCAAAAATAGAAAGCGGAAGCGCACACGCACTTTACAAGACGTATATTTTCTGCCTAAGGTTCAAGTTTAGTGCACTAGATGCAAATTGCAAACAATGAAGTACCGCTCTCCCGCGTCCTAGCTAAGGATGTATTATCGGTGATTCTTGATTGACAAATATTATCTGACCAATAAATTTATCTATAAAAATGTATCACTTTCACTCGATAAATTAAATTACCGTTATTATATCAAAATATCATTTAACAACTGTTCGTTTTTAACAGAAATCAACAGTCACGGGCTCAACGCTTAGCGGTAGGTACATAGGTATAGATAATTCTCGGTTCTCGGTAGGTATAGACCACAGAACAATATTACTCTTACTAGGTATACGGCTGTCGAACGATGCAATGTTGATGCATTCTAAATTACAACTGTATTCTTCTACTGTTATGGTCTATTTTAACTTATTGTAGATGACTTGTTGATTTAAATATTTTGATGCATTCAAGTCTAAGCCCTATACTTACACCTCAAAATAAAATACAAATACATCGGTGTTATTTCTTTACAAAAAATCAAAGAAATGAAACGATTTCTTATTGGTTTAAATTTTCGATTTATTGCAGTCAGGTAAATCGTTCATACATGTATCTACATATTTATAATTTTAGCGGTAAAGTGCAGATTTTCTGTTGATTGTAGCTCCGGTAGTTAAAAAGACTAAAGAATTTTAAGTAAAGAAACTAGTGCTTAAGATCCACTAGGAAAAAAAAAACAAAATAAATAATAGGTAATAATAATGAATAAATATTGAATGTATTTAACACTGTACGCAACTGTACCCAAATCGTAGGATGTATTACACTAAACATTTTAAAAGACAGCGCTATGGGTGATCGCTTTTTTGTAACCACCTAATTAAACATGGTCGGGTTACCACGGTCTTGCACCTTCTAATGACTTTTATTTAATTATCTCGTAAATTATTATATGTACTACGCTGAAATTTTACAAGTAGACAACTGAACTAAACAACCAATTAATTGCATAACATTCAGTTTATATATCCACACACAGGTTTATCGGTGGCCAAAAAAGGCCGCACACATTGTGATCGTGAACGTGGAGAGCTACATTTCATCATAACTTTTTAGTCACTTACAGTATACTCACGAAAATTCGTATACATTTGAAGGTAATTACAAGCAATAGAATAATGATTAAAGTAAGTCTTTAGAGGTCTTATTCAAAGTGTTAGGACGTATTGAAGAGTTTTCATACTTACTTAAATAATTTTTAAACGGTCCATTATTTTTGTTATTTTATTGTTAAACAAATTAAAACTGATCCTTAAGAAGTTATGTACAAGAGATGGTTACAATCCGCTCACCCGTTTCAGAGATCCAGTAAACCCACAAACGTTACTCCAGCAGGATCTCGAATAACTTCGCAGCCGAAGAAAATACAAATACCAAATAAGCTGTAGCATTTACCTAGTCCAGATAACTAATTATTCAGCTAAAATTTATTTCAATATTACAATTAAAAAAGAAAATGTCTGGCTGCGGTAACGTTTCAAACGTTACCCCAGCAGGAAACGTTTTTTTGAAATAACTAAATAAATTTAAGTGAAACAAATTTAAAAATGTACCTAACAATTACAGAAGGGGGGCAACTAATTATCTATAACGTTTAAATGACCATTTTCGACATTATTTTGCTGGGGTAACGCACACAATAAACTTTATATTTTTATTAAATACCTATGTCTTTTTTAAAAAAGTGCATGAAAAAAAGTAAAGATTCGTTCTCTGGAGAATCGGTCTAAACTAAACTCGATGCCATTAGTTGGTCTCTCTAATCAAAAATGTTGAACAGAACTTTTCACTACTTTATTTTTATATTGATTTCAGTCAGTCCACAAAAAAGTGTATGGAACACCACAACAAGAATTAATAGCAATGTCAAAGTGGCGCAACAATCTGGAGAGAGTGGCTAAACACAACCGCGATTTTCTGACCGGCAAACAATCCTACTCGCTACATTTAAATCACTTTGGAGATTTGGTAATATGTATTGTATTTGTTTGTACTACACCACGCTGGCCGACTCGTCTGGCCAGCGTGGTATAATAGGTCAAAACCTCCTTTCTAAGGAGACGCGCATGTCCAGCAATGAACTAGTAAAGGCTGTTGATGATGATTGATGAAAGTATTTGTCGCGTAGGTACCTTTTAAATGTGTAAAATTACTGTCAAATAATATTGATTATAATTATTAGATATTATGATTCCGACGTTTTTAAAAGAAAAAGAGCTTCAGTCAGGTGTGCCTTTTTAAGATGCCTCACTAATATATTTAGTTTCGGACATAATGAAGGATCGTTTTTAAAATTAAAGCGTCCTGCTGCGATGGTGGCTTCATACCCAATAAATATTTCTTTAGTGGTAGGTACCACTCAACCAGTCCCGAAATTTCGTTCCAGTTTTAGGGTATATTAGAGATCAAGTGTCCGTACTAGCTTTAATGAATCAAAAGAAAGCAGAAAACCATTACGATGCGATCTGATCTGAGTTTAGAGTTGGTAGGTACGTACTTATGTAAATAAAATAAAGCCTTTCTACGTTAGGTAGTGGTTAAAAAGTAGGTATGGGATCGACAAGTAAACTTATTAGCGTTTTTGCAACATTTAAGATATTTATGGTGCCAGCTTGTTGAAAGTCGATGTGCCTGGAGGTGGACGGGTTTCAAAAACTGATATCCAATTCTTTTCTTTAATGTAAACCAATTCCTACGTCAATAGTAGATAGGAGGTAATAGGAGTACTTGAGAGTTGCGGAGCGCCTAAAGTGAGCTTACGATTGCGTTACTAGTCATGTAAACTGATAAAATCCCAAGTCACTAGAATCTTTTTACCTAGTAAATAACGACTGTTAACATAAGTTTATTATTGGAACCAGAGTGGTGTTCATCTATAGCGCAGCGGTTAAGTGAACATTTCACCAATTGCGTTACGTGTTCGATTGTTACGTAGAATCATTTTTTATATAATACACAAGTACAGACATTACATTAGCTTTTATCAGTACTCACTATTATAATAAATAGGTACGCCAGGCCAGTGTCTAAATTAACTACCGTTTGTAGGACTGTTAATAGCGGTAAAAGTATGAAATTGCCGTTGTATAGTAATAGATACTTTGAACTGACATAAAACCTTCATGGTGTGAGATTTTCGTGTGAAACTTTTTTCACATGATACCCATTAGGTTCTTCTTTATAAAAAATGTCCAACATTAGATTTTCGACTGTCAATTGTGTTTTTTTATTCAGCTTAGTCGTGAAAGATGGATACTTCGAAAATCCCAGTTATTTTTTAATACGAGTTACGATGCGGAACTAACGCGGTAGAAACGTCTCGCAATATCAACTCTCCGTTTGGAGAGGAGACTGCTAAAGAACGCACCGTGCTTTTTTGGTTTAAACGCTTTCGTAATAGAAACTTCGACTTAAAGAACGAACCACGTGGAAGACAGTCCACACAGGTGAATAACGCTGAATTGAAGGAGATGGTGGAAGCCGATCCAAGTTCAAACTCCCCAGGAATTAGCGGCATGGTTTAACGTTACCCTACTTACAATATTAATCGATTTCCATCAAATCAATAAGATAAAAAATATGAAAAATGGGTGCTTCATGATTTGACTGATCTGCAGAAATAAGAAGATATATGCGTGTTGAAACTTGTGTTGCCTTGTTGAATCGGTACAGAAATGTAGGGATATTGGATCGAATTGTGGTATGGACGAAAATTGGATTGCTTACGATAACCGTAAGCGAAAAATGCAATGGCTGACCCCAGCTAAAACGCAACAGTGCCCTAAAGCAAAACTTACCAATAAAAAGAATATGGTAACTCTTTGGTGGTATGTTCATGGTGTTATTCACTATAGCTTTCTCAGGTCTGGTCAGGCAATAACAGCAGGTGTTTACTGTGCCGAACTTCGAACAATGATAGTGAGAATCGATCTTCACCATACGCCTAATACTCTATAATAAATGTAATCTAAGCAAATTTATATCTTCATTACAAAGATTGATGGTTATCAATCTTTTTAATTATCAACATTAACAAAAAGAAAGATAACCTTTAATTGTACAAGAAAAAAACATAATAATAGAACAGTTTGCACAAGTCTTATGATCTAGGGACAGTTACATAAAGAAAGTAAAACGAATTATATATAAAAAAGTTATACGATTTGCGGCCTTATCGCGATTCGCGATTTCTTCCAGGCAACCGCTGGATAGAGAACTAAATTAAGGATGACATGAGGAGTTGTCATTTACATTACGATATAATTAAATAGGATACATTGAAAAAGCATTAATAAGATGTAGGTACACACAGGTATCATACACATAATACACACACAAATAAATCGACTATAAGTAGTGGGTACCTACAATGCATGACTGTGGTCTCCTCGGATTTAACTGTAGCTCATTTAAGTTTGTTATTGATTAAAACTTGGAGTTAATTCCTTTCTTCCGACTTAAAAAATGAAGAAGCTTTCAATCCAGTTGCATGTTTCTTACCTCAAAACTCGGTTATTTATGAACCAATTTTTTTAAAATCCTCTTTTTAGTAATAAAGGAGATAGACGATGCTTAATGAGATTTGTGAATGGGATTTTCGTTTTTCGAGCATAAGTATTTCTATAACAATTTCAGGATCATTTTCAACAACTTTGAGGTACTAGTCCACTGCTGGACATTGGCCTCTCCCTTGGTTTTGTCCTACTATACCGTAGACGGGGTTGGTGTCAGGTTTGTTTCAAGTTGTCCTTCTCTTTGCAGTGTTGTTGTCCTTCGTAGTTTGCTACCTTAGTCGGCTCTTATGACACCCACGGGATGAATAGGAGTGGTGACACTCTGCATTCCTGATCCGTCACCATATAGATAGAAGAATAAAATAAATATTTTTTTATTTCCTCAACATGTTAATAGAAAATATGTGATATTTATTTATTTATTTTGATTTTTTTAATTATTTATTTACGATCACGATTTATAAATAACCGTTTTATGTGAATGTTCTTTTTATTTTCCTTATCAAATCGGCTCCTGAGTTACTTACTAAAAAGGACACTAAATTATGAAGTGTAAAATAAATAAATAATAAATTCTCTACATTTCAGGATGTAAAAGAATATTTCAGTAAATTCCTGAAGCTCTTTCATACGTTTCCACTTTTCGATCCGGCAGAAGACCATAGCAAGACTGCTTATCGAAGAAAAGCACACCACAAAGTACCTAAGAGGGTGAGTAGTATAATACAACCAAATTCAGATTATAGTAACTACGACTATGGTTTGATCAGACTTTGATCTGAACTTACTACAGACAACCAGATAATTTACTTAACGTTAGAATATTTTCTGATTATTAGACAATCGACAAGTCGCATTAAAATGCTATTACAACTATACTATGATTATTTTCATCATCATTATCAACAGCCTTTACTAGTCTACTAGTACAGTACAGGCCTATGTCCAGCGACATAGGCCTTTCCTTAGAAAGGAGGTTTTAGCTTACTATACCACGCTTGCCAGACGGGTTGGTATAGGGTTTGTGTCAAGTTTTCTTTCTCTCTGCAGTGCTGTTGTCCTGCGCAGTTTGCTCCCTTAGTCGCTTTTTACGACACCCACGTCACCATACAGATTGATCAGTCACCACACGTTTTTTTTTATTATTTATGCACAAGTATGGGTTGTACAATGGCGGACTTAATGAAACAGGCATTTTCTTCCAGTCTAAGTCAGGGTGGCGCTGAAATGTGTGACGAGGTGCACTAGACATTGATATGTAAAGTAAAAGAAAATTATTGAGAAGTTAGACAGAAACTGCGATAAATATACATACGTACATACGTACCAAATACATACACATACATAAATACTTACTTACCTAGTTACATACATATTATACATAAATCTACATATTAATAATATATACAACTTTAAGGTTGTAATGAATCTGCTAGGGTGTCAAGAATGCGAGCTCAACCTTTCATCTTGAACGAGAGGCGGCTGTGTGCTATCCTGATTTCTAGAGAATAAGTCCTCATGTTAGGCTAAAAGGCTTATTAGGCCTAAAAAAATCTATTGCGTATAATATATATGTTAAGGTAAAAGATATTAAGGTAAAAGAGGCACAAAATACATAAGTGTGCAGCAAAATTTACAATTTGCTTAGTTTTACTAATTTAGTGACGTAATGACAAAGCGGCTTGTAATTTTTAAACGACTCTTAAGTCTCAAAATCATGAGGTTCTCTATTCGGTTGTTTTTTATATTTGCTAATTCTGTCATTTATAAACCGACTATTTTTTGCCGGCGGCTCCGCCTGCGTATATGTCGGTAGTCATGGTAAATAGTAGCCTTTGTTACTCGTTGATAACGTAGCTCTCAATTGGTGAAATAAATTTTAAAATCGGTTTAGTGGTTTAGGTGCACTGAAAGCGTAACAAAAACCAAACAAACAAACTCACTACCACATTTACAATAAAATTAGTAGTATGGATATAATATAAATATGGATTAGGATTTTTTTTTATTTCGAGTTACTCTTAACTTCGTCGTTAAAGATATATTCACAGTTAATTTTTCAATCTCAAATACATATCCGCTCGTATGCCCCTGTCATGGCGCCCGCGGCGTCCAGAGTGCCCGCGACTCGCGAGCGAGACCGTCTAGATTGCCCCGGCACAAATACCGACCACCCGTAAAGTGCCCCACTGTTTTTTGCGTTATCGACGCGCGCGCCGTGTTCCACTTAATCGGTTCTTGTGACTAAAGTTTGTATTGAAAGGGTGTCAAGTGTTATATTTATTTAGTTGCCTATGAAATTAGCTAAACAATGTTATCTTTCTATTTACAGATTACGGCTCTGGTGTTGAGTTACACTGTGTTGAAATTGAGATAACGTCTTTTTAAGCTCGTGTTGCACTTCGAAGCTCATAGTTCAAAAATGAAAGCGATGACCTATGGTTTTTAATGTTTAATTATGTTGTTTAGATAGTAGTTAATATGTTATGAAATAAAACCATATACTCTCCCATACATATTTATTTATTTACAGGCCTCTAAATCCTTACCATTATCGGCCGCCACGCGGCATAATTTATGTAAGATGAAATGACAGAAGTTTTATGACGTATAATTCTTTTTTTTACTAGTGTTTGCATGCTCGACTGAGATTAATACCATAGATAATATATCAGACTATAGAAAAAATATTACTAAAGAGCATTATGTCAATACAATTACTGTCAAATACTAATTAATCTGTGGCAGGAGCCATGTAGACTACCGGTCTACACGGGCACTTTACGGTTTTATTTTTGTAGACTACTAGTCTACACGGGCACTTTCCGTTTTTATTTTTGTAGACTGCTAGTCTACACGGGCACTTTAGGATTTCGTTTTTGTAGACCACTAGTCTACATGGGCATACTAGCGGATATAAGTAATCTTAAAAACTAACATTTTGTTACGAGTTAAGTCATAAACGCCTAAACATTACTACACAATAACAATTACGTTATTTAACATATACCTACCTAAATATATATAATAATAATAATATAATATATCTCACACATCCCACACACGGCCGTACGGTCTCACTAGGCAGAGCCTGTACTATGATAACCAGACTGCTGATAAACATACTTATATATTTTTAAATAGATACATATTATAGATAAATTACACCCAGGAATCAAACCCACGACCTACAGTTTAGCAGTCAGGGTCACTAACCACTAGACCAACAGGCCCGTCCACGTACTTGTTTGTTTTAGGTCGACTGGCGTACTAAGGGCTTTCGTCCGCGGCGAGAGGAGCAGCATCATTGTGGAGCTTGTTATGCTTTCGCGGTCACACACGCACTGCAAGCTCAACTTTATAAGAAATACGGATTTACAGGAGAATTAAGGTAAAATAAGCCGTTTTGAAATCGCTACCCTATCCCCATCGAGTATCCTATCATTGGTTAGAGCTCGTTGAATAGATAATTACTGTATTATTTGTTTAAATATCGTGAAAATGATTATTATTACGTATATTTTACCAAAAACAATACCAATCATATTACGGCGATCGATTTTACGCTCTATATTTTTCCTTTTGCGTACAGAACCCTAAATGTGCGAGTCTGACACGCACTTGGCGGGTGTTTTATGGATACTCGGGATTTAGGGTAATGTGTAGACGGGCACGCCGTCATCGCGGCGGTAAGACCCGTTATGGAGGATTGGCTCGAGAGGCGTCACGGGACCCTCTCATACCGATTGACGCAGGTGATCACTGGGAAGGGATGTTTCGGGGATCACCTGTGTCTGATCCGCAAGGAGCCAACGCCTGAGTGCCACCACTGCGATGGCCAGACCGTGGACACGGCTCTCCGTGCGAAGCGAGAGTGCGTGGAACTGTGCCGCCTCCTTCTGCGAGCAAGTTAAGCTTGCGAAGAAGATGGTGGAGCGCCATCCCGGCCCGCCAGGCTCGGGAACTGGCCAGGTACCGCAGACGACTCAGACAGCGACGACGCAGAGGTCGCATAACGACCTTCGTCCTCCATAAGCGGAGGCCTGGGGGTGACAGGTGAGGCCGTCTGTCACCCTAGCAGAAGCAGGCCGGGGTGGCGGCGAGCGCGTTGCGAAGCGCGCGCGCCCCTCCGGGAGCACAGAGGGAACATGGCGGTTCCCATACAGGGGGGTCGTCTACCCGCCGTAGATGGCCCGAGGTACGTCGGGGTACCAGGGATTTCCTTTCTAGGGTACACCTGGTTCCCCGACTACTGGTACCTGAGACGGCGTCCGGTTTTAGTCGGTTCGAGGCCGATATTGCCACCGGTAAGTGGTATCCGAGGAGATTTCCGCACAGAAAAAAAAGAGGGTATATTCAGAGGACCGGCACTGAATGCGAGTTTTTTCAACGAGAACACGCAGTTTGTTTAAGTCGTTAACGCGTTTATCAAGAGGCGCGTCAGCTACTTCGTTGACGATTTGTTTATCCTCCATGAACCCTTTTTTAAAGTGATTTTAATAAATAATATACTACTCTTTTTGTACATATAGCATGTGTTCAAAGACTTCGTTTCGTTCGTTCGAAAACGTTTATTTACGTATGAAATAAAAAAGGAATTAACCTAAATAGACATAGAGAAATAAAGTCTGTTTTTGCATTAATTTCCAACGAATACATAATTTAAGCAACATTCTCACTACATGCGTTCAACGTCCGAGAACCAGTGACAATGTGAACTTAGTCTTAATTATTTATGTAAGTATAAATTCAGTCCCCAGCAGATAGTGGATTGCAGTTTCAAGGATGGGAACATGGGTTGTGATGGAGGATCTTTAAGGGCTGCACTAAGATATGCAGCCAGAGATGGTCTTATCAAAGAGTCGCAGTACCCATACATAGGGAAGGTAATTTTTTTGTAATATCTTGTTAACTTTTTTGTTGCAATTAACTTTTAAATACTAGAAATATTACCTAATGCTACGACCAGACTTATACCGAAATGCTATATCAATACGTTCTCGCATTAATATTAATTTTAGAATAGAATATAATAGAATATTATTTATTTCATAAAGCACAGCATACAAAAATTAAAAATAACATACACAAAGAAACTAAAAATCAAGTAAGGTTTGATAAAGGCAACATTTTTTAATGTGTCAATCTTTCATATCTGACAGAACTGACATGACACGTCAATGTGCCACGTATACAACGAAGCGTCTATATAAATTTACTTATAATAACTATATTAATACTTATCAACCTGTATACTATAAAAATCCTTTAATGTTGCTGAAGCATGGCGCTTCAGAAAATAGGTGACCCTCAGTGTACCTGTGGTGAATAGAAGATAGATATAGAAGATAGAAGATAGATAGACGACTGGATGGCGTAGTGGTTTGTGTAACGGACTGCTATTCCAAAGGTCACGGGTTCGATTCCCGCTCAAGTCAAACATTTGTGTGCATGAACATTTGATGTTTGATTTGGTCTGGGTGTCTCTATGTATAATATGTATGTATTTACAAAAAAAAAAGTATATATGTATTTATATCAGTTGTCTAGTACCCATAGTACAAGCTCTGCTTAGTTTGGGACTAGATGGCGTTGTGTGTATGTGGTAATATTATTATTATTATTATTATTATATTATTATAGATACCACCTCAGTGCTGTTTTTAGTGCCTCCCTAAAGAATTTCATTCATATATAATATTTGACTGTCTTGACTTGTGTCTCTTGAGATGCAGTTCATTTGCCTTCCACTCCTAATTAATACTTCTTTATACTGACTGGTGGTGGTGCAGTGGTAGCGTATGCGACTGCTGTGCTGTGGTCTCTGGTTCGATTCCCGGGTCGGGCCTAGTGTTTATATGATCTGCAAATATTTGTTTCGAGGTTTGGGTGTTTTCTGTGTATATAATTTGTATGTATTTACTAAAAAAAGTTTATAAGTATTCTATCAGTCAATCTAGCTTTCATAATACAAGCTCTGCTGAGTTTGAAACTAGATGACGTTGTGTGTTAGATGTCCGACATATTATTATTAATATATATTTACAAAAACATGTAGGTATATTTATCAGTCTTTTAGAACATTTAACAACATACACCAGCACACTATCCTTTGCTTGGGTCTTAATATCGTTGTGTTAAATGCCCAGAATATCATTATTTCTACCACCAAGTATCAAACATATGCTGATGTTCACTCAATCAATAAAATTCCTTGGTTACCAGAAAGGTCGCTGCAAGTACAACAGACTTCAAGTGAGAGTGCGTGCTAGAAGGTGGGCGACTTTACCGGCTTACAATGAGCGAGCTATAGAAAAGGCGCTGGCCACCATCGGACCTTTAGCGGTCGCTGTTAATGCTGCTCCCTTCACATTTCAACTTTACAGGTAAACTTTATTGAGTTTATGACTTCTTCAATTTTAGACCCTTTGGGGTCAAAATCAGTTTCCCAGGGGTCGACATAAACGAAAACTGATTTTGGGGGTCGACGAGGTGTAATAATCGACCCATATTAATTAACACAACTTATTATTTGAAACTTTCAACATACTTTAGAAGTTGTGTTACGTGTACTAACATCGTATACGATTAATCAATCTAAATCAAATTAAGTCTTTTTATTTTGTGAAATTTTGATGAGAAAATGATGTAAAGTTTACTCCCTTAACCAAAGTTTTTAAATTAGTAAGTATTTTGTATCAATAGGAAAAAACTAGAGCTAGGATTTTTAAAGTATATTGGGGTCTGAAGTATCAGTTCATTTTGAAAAAGGGGTCTCTTGTCCAAAATAGTTTGGGAAGCGCCGTTTCAGGCTAACGCGCCTCGGTATCACGTGATGGTAAGTGACTTCAGCCGTCCAAGGACAACCAGAAACGTGAGTCAAGACAAGAGTTCCCAGCCGGTGGGATAGTTGGTCCTCCGGCCCTAAGCATGAAATGTCCATACCAATTACTTCTTAACTTTTCTTCTACTTTTTTTTAACTTGTTTAGTTACTTTGGCGGTAACATAAATGGTATGGTACAATAAATAATCTTGTATTGTATTGTATCACTTCAGTCGAGAATGCCCATATGTTCCGAAGCATGCGGAACATGCCTCTTCCACCGTTAAAACATTACTACCTTGACTGACTACCTTTTTGTAGTCTCTTTGTCAACCTATTTTCTTTTATACATATCTACTGACACTCAAGCCCAAGCTACAGTCTCAAAGGTAAAGGCAGAGTCACAATAAAGATAATTTGGCCCACCTACATAATTTAGGGCCCGACTGCCTCCGTCAATCGTGTGCCTTGGGAATTAAAGATGACGGTTATTTTTCCTTCGACGCTTAGCTTTTGCATCAATAATTTGATAAAAATGTAACATGTATGTATGTTTTGTGGAAGCCCGACTTGTGTAAGAGTTTAAATAACCCTTTAGCAAAGCAGAGATTAATTTATGTTTTCACAAAAGGCCTCTGTTAGCCCAAAAACAAAGATAATTTGTTGATTTAGCATAAAATGTTCTTCAACTGACTACGCATTTTAGCCGTAGTGTTTTCAAAGAAAGTGTGGTTTTCAATTGAGTTTCTATTCCTTTACGAGGATTTTTCCAATCGAAAACTTTATCTGAATTGGATCCTACAGCTTAGAACTTTTAACGGTTCTAATTGAATTACTCACAGTAGACTACGGAATTTTCCAGTTCGATGCACCTAAATTCAACTTTGCGTTGCAAGTATTGTAAAAATATATTTTAACTTGTTTTCCTTAGGAAGTTTTATTGTATGTCTTGTAATATTACTGCTTTATTCTAAATATTTTTGTGAGGTGACCATTACGTCCAAATATCATTAAATGAGAAAATGCTTAAATAATTTATTTATCGACTAAAAAATTCGGTAGTCGGTTATATTTTGTTAAAATTTGTTACCTTAGAATGCCGTCACTATAAATTTAATTCAAGAAGTAGTAAAGAAGAATGAGGCATATAACAAACTGAATTATTTTTACACTTACAGGCGCATTTTTTTTTAAAAAGCATCTCTAAGTCAAGAGATGCTTTTTTAAAAAAAAAAGATGTTATGGTGCCGTATCTCAAAAGCAAAAAACGGTACCCTTATAGGATCACTTTGTTGTCCATCTGTCAAGACCCTTTATCTCAGAAACGCGTGAAGGTATCGAGTTGAAATTAAATCCATGTACAGTCCCTTGAAGTTACGTTTCGACGAACTTGCTCTAACCGTGATCACAAGCTGACTCACCTGTTATCACATTGTATGTATACCTATTGACCCCGCTAAATCTCAAATAAATAATAATAAATCTAGTAATGTAAAGTTTAAAGGTAATAATGTCATTATTATGCTATTGTGTTACAGAATACCACTGTTATTACTGAATAATTACAAGTGTCTTCATCTTAATTGTTTGTTATGTATGTACACATCATTGTACCTTGACAAAATACTAACAAATGCACACTGCACATAATGCACAAACACTTGCACACTTCAAGAAACAAGTGAAAGAACCTTGGAGACGTCAATTGGAGTGTCTGTTTGTAATATTAAAATAACCGCTTTTTACTAAATGTTTACACGGTACATATGCCAAAATAACATTTTTACAATTTTTGTCTGTCTGTCTGTCTGTTTGTTCCTGGTAATCTCTGGAACAGATAGACAGATTTCGACGGAACTTTCACTGCAAGATAGCTGATGACATAAGGAGTAACTTAGGCTACTTTTTTTAGACTAGCTTCGCCCCGCGGCGTTACCCGCGGTTATATCAACAAACGCGGGTAACACCGCGGGTCTCAGCTAGTTTCTACTAAGTCGACAAGGACATTATATATGTATTTAGAACTTAAAAATCACACGTATTTATTTAATGAAATGTATCTAATAACATCACCAGCCGTGTTCAGCACATAGTATATTCCTTCTAGTATGTTATACATTTACCTAGGTCCAACAAACAGATACCATGTGTAATTATCACTTTTTATAGTTATGTATATATGATTACATATTTTTTTCTATTTCCTAATACACCAGCCACTACCCAATACCAAATTACACATTAGTATAATAGATACTTATTTATTTTACAAAAAAAATATTTATTTTTATCCTTGATCTTTTCACACAAAAATCACGAAACCGTAATTACAAATGTGGTAATAGAAATATGGTAAATATATTATAAAATATATATATTTTTATAATTTAATGAATTATACTTCTTTAGGGAAAGAAATATATATGTATTTTTGATGTGGAATATCCATGCTTTGGCAAATACGATCAGGCTTCCCCGGAGTGATTCCATGCCGTCACAGAAACCCGTAATGAAGTAATTCTTTTGTTGCTTTTCACTGAGTGAGTGAGTGAGTGCCGCTCAAAGGGCGACAACGCACTGCAGATTATAGATGGACAAAATCACAGTGAACTGCAAATGAACGGTGATTGATCATTCGATTTTTTCATACGTAGGTTAGGGTTACTACTTATCTACTCACGCGTTGTTGCCAATAAGCTGTTTTCAGACGATGCATAAAGACCCTATTACGCCTATTTAACAGTAACTCTAGTAATTATTTTACTATATATAGCTACCATTCCCTAAATAATTATAAAAAAATAAGATAAATAGATTTACTGTTAAATAGCGTCTAACCTACCTACCTAGCAACCCTAACCTACGCACGTAAAAATCGAATAGTAAATCACAGTGAACTGTGTTTTACTATTCGATTTCCATGATGTCCCATGTCTACTGCAGATGTACTCGTACATGGCCGCCGGTAGTCACATCAGGTGACCTGTCTGCTCGTTTGGCTACTGGGCTTCTTTTACGACGATGGATAAAATGTCAGTGGTTTAAACTCTACTCTTTATCACCAGGAGTGGTATATATGACGACCTGTTCTGCACTCCATGGCAGATGAATCATGCGATGTTGCTAGTGGGATACAGCCCGGAGTATTGGATTTTACTCAATTGGTGGGGCAAAAAGTGGGGGGAAGATGGATACATCAGGTATTATTTTATATATTTTTAGATTTTCGAATTGTTAATTTGTTTAACAACAACAGTTTTGTCAAAGAGTTATTGAGTGCTATTTTGATTTCATTTAATTTATTTAGATGAAATTGTTCAAAAGTAATTTTGAACTTTTAGCCTCTGAATATTTTCATATATATATATATATATATATATATATATATATTCTTTAAAAAAAAGACAACTCCCGCATTAGGAATATATCCTGTGTCGCGGGGGACTTTACAAACATACATGAAAGGGACACAAAGAACACCCAGACTCAGAACAACAATTTGTGGATCACACAAAGTGTCGTCCCATGTGGGGATCAGACCCACAACACTCAGCGTAGTAGTAAGCAACGAGGCGCCTAAACCACTACGCCATCCGTGCAGTAACCATTACATTGTTCATATCATGACTTCAAGATTAGGATTTTATATTTTGTTTAGTGTATTGAAGAACAAGAAAGTATCATCCAAATTCCATAGGAATTAAATAGAATAAACGCTAGTAGGAGACCCCCTCAGAGGTTATACTTAAAAAATATATAAATCTGGTGTAAACCTTCTTTCTAAGGAGAGGCCTATGCCCAGCAGTGGACTATTAAAGGCTGTTGATGATGATGATGATGATGTAAACGGGCAGACAGAGTTGTTCACGTGGTCTTTAGACCATGGAGAGACTATGTAGGTATAAGTAGATATTGTTAGTGATTTAATTCCTTTTTTACAGGATTCGAAGAGGTTTAAATAGATGCGGAGTAACAAATATGGCTACATATGTTGAAGTATAACTGACGCAATATAAAAAAGTTGACCATGAAATAGTGTTTTATTTTCATTTATTAAATTTGTCTTCATAGTTGTTAGAAGTGCCGATAACTTGTGTATGGTTTGTTCGTTTAAATAAGAATGTTCAAACTGACTTGTCGATTTCATTAGCTTCATGATTGTCAATTTATTTTACTTAATTTTAACAAAAGCTTAAAGCTAAAGGTCAAGATATAGGTTGGATAGTATAGTTTAACATACATAAATTCACGCCGATGATAAAGAATACGGAGTCCCCCCTCCCTTATTCATCCCGTAAGTTTCGTAAAGCCGACTAAGGGAGCAAAATACACAGCACAACAGCACTGCAAAGAGAAGAAGAATTTGAAACAAACCATATTTTTTACGTGTGGAAAGCCCCTCGGGCCCTCATCCAACCAGGGTTTGTAGTGGGGTGGCGTATCGGGATCGGACCGACTAAAACCACACGGTGTGCCACTCTGCACTTACAATAAGAGGGATCCGAGAACGGCTGTTGTCTCTAAGCGACACGGGCGGGGAATGAGCCGCTGTGGAGCCGACGACTGCCACGGAGCCGTCCCGGTCACCCAACCAATTTGAACAGGGAAGAATATAAAAGGCCTCCGCGGCCATGCCGTTCGAACACTGGTTTACAGGAAGACCGCACACGCCGGGAAGTGAGGGCCGGCAGAGCATTCTGCCGCAAACATGATCCGCTGCAGTCAAAACAATTTACACACTTGACGCGTGTGTGTCCCGATGCTAGGCATTTAAAACACCTTGTAGGAGACATACATACCTATATACATTGTAAATTGCTTTCACCATAACTAATATTTATGTATATATTTAATTTTCATTTACATTATGCAATACATAATTCAACACACATTATGAACAAACAAATATTACATTGATATAAAAAGTATTAGTATTTATCCACAATCATTTTTTACACATCCGACAATATTACAAAATGTAGGTAGACGTGTAGAATATATATTTTACGTTGCACCTACTACCAGTCACAGCTTCCTACCGCCGCGATTTGTATTCTGTTGCCTGCGCTAAATATATTGTAATAACTATTATAATATTTTCCTATATATTTATTTATCTAGTGTTAATCGTATGTGTATTCTTTTTGTTGTGTTCTATGTACTTGTTACCGTTCTAACTATTCTATTGTGCCTTCTAAGTATACTGTAATCTTTGTGTCGTGTGTGTAGTGTGAATATTAAAACTATACCGGTGAAAAGGACTGTTTGCTTTGTTGCGACTTATCCATCGTAAGTAACTTTACACCCTAAAGACCAAACACCTCATCGGTCTCGCCGCCAGAACTGTCATCACGTCTGTGTACATTCACGTAACCGATGAGCATCTTGCCGGCGTCGCCCAATAATTTGGCCGACGCTATGGGACAGCTGACCCACATAGCGGCAAGCCCTCCTGGACCGGGGTGGATGGTGCCGACCCTGATGCTGTCCATGCTGCACCCCGTCTTCTCACGGATTGCAACGCGGACTTCTGCGGCCGTTACATAGTCGGCCAGGTCCGAGATGCGCAGCTCTGCGCTCTTGGTAGGCCTGGCGATCTTGACACTATACGTGGCTGCGAATATACCCCGCAGCTTGGCAAAAGTGTCCGCCGTCTTTGCGCCTTCAGCCCCAGGGAACTCGATGACTTGAGCACCCGTCTGGTCAAAGCGCAACTCGAAACAAATCCTTTTTTTTTTTTTTTTTACGTGTGGAAATCCCCTCGGACCTACACCAGACCGGGGTTTGCGGCGGGGTGGTGTATCGGACTCGGACAGACTAAAACCACACGGCGTGCCACTCTGCGCCTGTAATAGGAGGGATCCGGGAACAGCTGTTATTAAGACATCCGGACCCCTCCTAGCGCCGGCCCGCTCCTGTTGCGAGCTCCGTCTCAAAATTTTTTTTTCCTCTCTTTAGGCGACGTCCGGCACACGCGGACGCCGCCCCCTCGCGGCTGGCCAAACTAATGCGGGTGGAGGGGAAACCCACCCCGTCCACCCGCGGCCACACTCAGGGCGGCATGAGGCGCAGGTGAGCGCGCCTCCGCCGCCCGGTTCGGGTCCGAGTGGAGGTCGTCCTCCCAGGCCTTCTCCGCCGCCTCCTTCTGCGAGATTACTTCCTCGCAGAAGGTTGCGACCGCGGTAAAACTACTGTCGCTACCGGCCATGGAGCGTTACTCGAAACAAATCCTATACCAACCCCTCTGGCCAGCGTGGTAGGTATAGTAGACCAAAACCTCTTTTCTAAGAGTGGCCCATGACCTGACCTGGACTATTAAAGGCTGTTGTAGAAGAAGTATAGTTTAGGGAGATTCTCAGCCTCCTCGGCATGAAGCCAGAAAACAATCAGTTACAATAAATTAGCTATTTTTAACTCGATATAAACCATTGTGCAAGCTCTAATGCATCGTAGAGAATAAGACTAATTCAGCCAGTCGCTCTACTAGTTAAAATCGTAATTCATTTATGTTAGTTTTCTCTATTCGCCCGCCACGAATAAGAGTCCGTTTGAGCTTGGTGTCTGGTATAAGTTACTGGGAAATGTGCCAGTTGAATGAATAAGAAATCGACTTTAAAAGGAAGGTTTAATCATTAATTGTTGTAGCAATCTGCAGGGATTGCATGTATCTGCCTCCCCTCCTATTTTCGTCTGTTTATGAGCCTACTCAAGATTATAATTTAAGTTATGTTTACTGAAGAATCAACAAACGTTTCGTAACTTATATTCTTTTGCATCACTTTTATATGTACATTCCTAGGGCCGAAATCTAGGTTTCGAATTTGTCTACAAACAAAATTAAATCACACATCTAGTTGTTGTAAAGTTATAACACACTAGCTTTTGCCCGTGGCTCCGCCGCGTACAAAACAAACAAACACACTTACTTTCACATTTATAATATAGGTACATTAACGAGTTTACTTATGTTTTGATGAGATTTGTACATACTTCTCTTTCATGTAAGTTGTCAAGCCGCACACTTTAGAAATACACTTTATGTGGGATAGACTGGACAACATCAAGTCAAGAAGATAGTATAATTAATGGAACAGACCTGCAAAAAGAAGGAAATCTTGACACAAACCCTATACCAACCCGTCTGGCCAGCGTTCTATAGCAGGCTAAAACCTCTTTTCTAAGGAGAGGCCTATGTCCAGCAGTGGACTATTAAAGACTGTTGATGTGATGTGATCGCTTACTATATTTAAATCAATACCATCGTAGTTTTTCAACAGATATATAAAGTAATAACGAAAACATCAGCCTATGATAACTATATACGCGCTATATATGTGTGTATAATAAAAATAAAATATTTCTACCTAGAAATCTAAAATGTCGTAGTCGTAGTCGACTTTGCGTGCGAGAGCGTTTTTTTGCAGTCGTTGCCATGGTTTTTTAATTTCCCTTCACGATATATCGCTTATTTAATCGACTGTAAAAATAAATGAGTTAATTAATGGACGTGCAGTCGTAATAATGAAGAGTATTACCCCGCTAAGTTATTTAACAATGGTAAAGTTAGATTTAATAACAACCAAATTTGCATATTATTCCTATCTCTTATACGTTAAGGCAAACAACTAACCTAATTGAGTGTAGTTGAGGAAGCGGTCAGAGAGGCATAAATGCGATTTATCTGTTCGCGAGTCATTCACTACGCGCCAACGTGCGGTAGGGCACGGTTTACACTTCGTTTTGTTGCAAATGCATGTTGACATTTTGTTTTCCAACGTATATTTTGGTTCTATCAAATGGATAGAACAGAGTTTTTACTCTAAACTTTTCGGAAGATAAGTAATACTTAAGGATGATGCTTCTCTTGTTCTATATAGCAGATAGGTACACAAGCAGTACATTCTTTTGGATTTTCACAGTTGTCAGTTGTTGCTGAAATTAAAAGCACGGGGTGCTTTAAAAGTATTTATTCCCTTATCTCTTCGTACTTTTCACAAGGTACAACTAAACTAAGACTTGGCCATCATTCTGTGTCGAAGGCGCTTACAATGGAATGTACTCAGGGATCAGTGCTAGGTCCATACTTGTGGAATATCGGCTTTTGAATTTTCTTGCGATACCAATACCATCCGGATATCTAAACGCGCTATGCTGATGACGGCTTATTACTGGTGGAGTTTGATCCTAGGGCGGGGCTTGAGAGATTAGCCAATAGATGTTTGAACTGGATATCTCATTAGGGTGAACGTAATCGCTTAACTTTTACACCCAACAAAACCTTCCAGCTACTTTTAAAAGGTAACCTCATATCATCGCCAATGACGATGTCACTACTCGTATAAAAAACAAAATTTCAGTTATTTAGGATTAGTTTTAGAAAGAAACTTTTCATTCATCGAACATATTAAAATAGTTAATGAAAAGTCTAAAAAGAGTTTCCGTGCATTGACAAGGATATCAACTGCGACATGGGGTCTATCATTAATATACTAAAGGTCATATACCGAGCTACTTATTTCGGTTCTATGTGCTATGGTGCACCTGTATGGGCCGATAGGGCAACCGTAGGCGCTGTCCATCGCAAACTGTTACAAGGCCAACGACTTGCACTGATATTCTTGTGCAAGGCATATAGGACGGTTAGCACTGAGGCTTTGCCGGTGTTGGCGGGTATGCTTCCGGTCGACCTCGAGGTGCAGAGACGTGCAGACATTCAAGAAAACAAAACACGGAACGCGATTGTTTTGGCGCACTAGATCGCGATAAAATTACAAGATTGCTTCAACAGCATTCCGATGTCTATAATGACCTCATAGAAGAATGGCAACCACGCTGGGATGAATCATCTAAGGGGCGCCACCTAGCCAGTTCTTTCCGCCTGTTCGGGAACGGTTGTCGAGGACATGGCTGGAGGTGGATCACTGTGTCGTTTAATTACATATATTATACTCTGCCTAATTGGCAAGTTAATTTTTTGAAGTGAAACTTCTTTAGAATCGTTG